GGTCAACTTGTTCATCTGTTTCTGCTCTCAAAGGCAGGACAAGGCAAGAGTGTGTATAGGCTGGGTCAAATGCGCTTCCTAGGGCCTTATTGCAAAGTTGTCCGTTGAAAAGCACTGGTCAAAGGGAAAAGGAAGTGTACCAAAAAGGCAAGAAGGACACATTATCACTTCCTTGGCAATGGAATCCTCTCAGTTTTAAGTACTGGACCAGCATTTCTCAGCATCATCCTCTTTTGCAGCACTTCCCAGCTTTCTAGCTACCCCAGAAAGTCGCTATCAGCTCCCTTCTTTTCAGAGTGGTTATCACAGGTATAGACATTTTCCCTCACATTTACTTCTCACCTATTAAATTTGCATATATTTCCATGGTTTCTTAAACACTTTCAGCTTTCTGCAGCAACCACAGCAGCATGTGCTCTGAAAAAGAGCCATGTAAGGCGGGTTGGAGTTGCTATCTCTCCCTTCTGGAGCAACAGGGAACGTAGAGGTGTTGAAAAGAGGAAGGGCACTGAGCACTGTCAGCTCAACAATTGCAATCAAGAGGATTACGTTGCCAAGTGGGTGACATTATCTTCTCTGCCTTACCCGCTTTACCAGTGCTTTTCAATTGATAGTCTGGCAATTTAACCCTGGCAGCTGTGTGCGGATCAGACCATATGTATCTCCCCTTGTCAGTCTCTTTTACTGCTCTTCTTGACAGCTGAAATGGACACAAATTTGACCAGGGAAAACTATGCTTATCAGATAATTATAAGTATGCACTTGCAAAAACTAGTGATAATAATGGTTTTTAAAGGTGTAATATCAGAGTGTGGGGGGAAATAAAAAGATCCCATGCCCATTTTGCATTTTCACCATAAATGAATAAATAAAAAATAGCAGCACAAGTAGCAATCCTTCCAGTTAGCCACTTCAGTATAGGTGGAAGGGGTTTGCCTCTCTTGCTCCTGACTTAGGTGTTCCTGACAACCCGTACTGACATCTGCCTGCTTGGTTCAGGTCTCACAGCAGCCCATCAAGAACAAAGCATTTCTAAAATACGGCAGAAAGTTTCAGACTGACTTACTTGGGAAAAATAAACCACCCCGTAGAACGGGTGACACAACACTCCACCATGACTGACTACCCCTGGTAGCTTGCTGTGCTGCATGAACTAAGACACTTTTAATGGTTTCTGACAATGTAACTCATATTCTAGTGCTGAGTATGGGTGGAGTGTGGGTTGTGGCTGAACTGTGTGTTATTGTCAAAAACTGGGTTATGTTGTCTGAACCCAGTTGTGCTAACAAACCATGGCTTGCTAGTCATAAATAACCTCTGAAGACAACCCATGGTTTGGTATCTTGTCTGGACTTAGGCAATCAGCCCACACCGCTACGCTTGGGTTTCAGTTATCATGTTATTATTGATTCATGCACAAGCATATGAAATAATTCCCCCAGGACTGTACTATTTTGATTGCAAGTGAGGTATTTGCATGTTTGAATTCTCCCCCATGAGGAAAATCCTTTACCAAACAGCAGCACCTTCAATCCTGTCATGAATGGTGGGTGACTCTCTGCCCACAGGAGTAATCAAATCCAGTGGTGTTCTCAGCTGGTCTGTGGAGCCTCCCTCGGTCACCACGCCTCGTTCCCAACCCCACCAGGTTGCCATTCCCAGTTGACTTCAAATGGCCTTTGATTGTTGGCTAGGATAGCCAGTTGGGGATAATTTTTTAGAAGTCCTTTTTTGAAGCTGGAATGTTCATGGGTGTTTCTAAAGAGTTTTGCTGAAAGCCAAAGTGTGCCGAGGGAAAATCTAGCTCAGTGCTCAGAATCCCAGGCCCTTTCAGTTCCAAAACTCTCTTCTGGGTGCTCTGATCCTGGCTAATTAGTTCAGTGACACTTTCCCCACACACACTGTCCTAACAGTTGCTTTAAGTTTTAGAAAGAATAAAATGCTGAGTCATTGAATTTAGCTGTATTTAAGCGCATCCAAATAGACAACTCTTAAATCTATTTAAGTTTCCCTCTTGTTCTGTTTTTTTTTCTTTTCTTTTCTGATCTTGCATTTCATTCATCCCTAAATGTAAGATTCTTATTTTAAAGTTTGTATGGAAATTTGTATACACATGTGGCATGTTAGTACAAGAAAAAAGTTCTTTATTATCTATATGTTATTTATCCTTGTAAAAACCTTGCAATAGAAGCCATTATTATCCCTGTTGTACAATTACAAACTAGATGTTGAAAGATGGTAGCTCACTCAAGCTGTAAGACTGAGCAAAGATTGGCTTTTGAACCCAGAGCCATTTGTGATACTCTTTCCACAGGACAACAGATGCTGTTTTTTCAAACAGAAATTATTAGCAACAGCTGGTCTTTTCTGATCCTGTTTTTGATGTATTTTGTCAGTTCACTGGAGTGAAAATAGCCTGGAGATGTTTTTCTGTTGGTGGGAATTGGACATGTGAACGCCTGCAGGTTTTTAGGAGTTCAAAAGTCCAAGCACTTAAGACAACATTGTAGGAAGATAGACATGCTAGATCTGGGACACAGTTGTCTTACTGAACTGGCGCTTGTTTCAGCAGCATCATGTTGTCTGAGGGAAGGACTGTAGCTCGGTGGTCTAGCATCCTCCTTGCCCCAGCTGCAATCCCTGGCATTTCCAGGCAGGGTTGGAAGAGCACCTGGAACAATGAGAGCCACAGGAGTCCATCATTGACAGTACCGGGCTGGGTGGACACATGGTGTGATTCAGTACAAGGCAGCCTCCAGTGCTCCTGTGTTGAAAGATGTGTTCTGAAAATGTCATTTGAGGGCTGTTTCTTTGTTTCTGCTATTTAGCATGCAGGAACAATCATGTGAGTCAGTTTTTCCCAGCCTGGGGCCCTTCAGGTGTTTTGGACTGAACTTCCAGCCTCCTGGCCATCGGGCTTGGAGGCTGAGCTGATGCGGGTTGAAAGCCAAAACTTCTGTAGGTCACTGGGTGAGGGTAGGCTGATCTGTGCTTCCTGTCCTCATTAGCAACAGCAGTGACAGACATGGAGAGGGCAGGGAATCTTGTAGGAAGTTTGTGTCATGTTACCAAGTACATACGCCCAGCAATTATGGAGGAGAAGCAAGAGAACTGGATACGGGGGTGCATAATGTGCATGAGACAAAGCTGCACATAGATAATGTGCTTTTATTGTTTTATATTTTTATATGATTAATAACTCTTTTGTTGTAATTTAGGCATGTTTTTATGTTCTAGTATTGTAAGTGGCCCAGAGAACCTTCGGATTAGGGGCGGAATAGAAATGGAATCAAATGAATGAATGAATAAACGAAGGCAGCCTTCTCTGTTTTAGTGCCTTCTAGGTGTGTTGGACTACAACTTCCATCTTCAAGGCTGGGGAAAGCTGTCAGTTGTAGTGCAACACAGCTGGTGGGCACTAAGGTGGGGAAAACTGAAATAACAAAAGAAACCTAACTGCATAGAGAACTGTCCATGGTACTGAAGCTTGCTTGTATATGTACGAGTCGAACGGACTTTTGTAGCCTTCTGGTTGTTCTGTCACAGGGGTGGGTGGAAGATTACTCAGGATCTACCAGGAGATCTCTGGGAGTTTTTCAGTACCTTACTAACACTTTGTGACTTTTACTGGTCAGGCAATACAATCAATTCAATAGATTTTCCCACACCGTTGGCTCTAAGCATCAGCACTCCGTGCATTGTGGAAACCAAGATTTCAAGATCTATTTCATTGGGAATGACAAGTATATTTGCTTATTTTTCAGAATAACATTCTAAAATCTGTTTTTACCCATATGTCCACCAAACTGAGTTGGAAAAATCTGGGATAACACCTTGATTCTTTTGAAAAATCTAAATGAGAAGTTCTGTATTTTAATACAATAAGGGTGCAATTCTATGCATGTTAGGCAGAGGAAAGTCATACAACTCCCAGCAGTTCCTAGCCAGTCGGGATGCCTGGGGAATGCTGGGAGCTGGAGGACTTTTTTTCTTTCTAAGCATTCATGGATTGCACCCTAAGGGATTTTATGGGTAGCAGCAGTAATAGAACTTTGGCCTATAGTCCAACACATCTAGCGGCACTGGGTTGGGAGCATGCTGCAGCTACTGAATCATTTTTATTGACTCTGTGATTTATAGGAATGATTCTATCTTTTTCTGTTGTTATCCTCCCTTTGGAATCCTTGTCATTGAGGTAGTAAGGATCATAAATGATTTTAAATACAAAAACAAGAGTTGCTGTCTGGCTTTGCCAAGGATAACAAGGTAACATTGCTTGTTACTGGCTAAGCTGATCTGAAGCCCGGCCTGCCAGAAGCCGTGCTGCCCAGGTCCAAAGGAGAGGCATTGACACATAGAGGGAGGAAGCCCAGAAATCAAGAAGCCAAGTGCAGTAGAACTAGTGGGGATGGGGATGATGAAGAAAGGAGGATTTGAACATGGAACTGTGCAGAAGCATGAGTAGAAAAGGAAGCCCTTGTCCTGGCAAAGGAAAAAGCCCATGGAGATGTGGCAGGGACCAGTGCAGAATCTGTCCCGCAGTGTTAAAGCAAGCTAGAGGGGGAACGCTCCAGGCTTTAAGAGCAAGGAATTAGTCCATGGAGTTGTTGAACCAGTGCCTTCTCAGCAGCAATTGGAGGTTTAGGTCTGCTGAATTGCATCCTAGCTCCATGGAGCAGAGCTGACCCAACTGGTGTCCCAGTCTGGCCCTCTGGGCTTCGTCAGCAGGGCACGCCCCTCTCCCTGTCCCTAACTTTTCTCCTGCCGAATGTTCAGTGGTTTCCTTTCTTTCACACAGAGAGGAGGTACAGGTGACAGGAGTCGCCTAAGTGAAGAAGGCTGAAGTTCACACATTTGAAATAACTCAGTCATTCTTTGGCTGTAGCCCCTGGATAAATTTCATGTTAAATGACTTGGGGCTTGTGTGGATATGAGTGTGTGTGTCAGAGAGCAATACCTTTTAAACATTGTCTTCATTTTGTTTTTCTGAAAATGTGCAGCACAGCCAAGTACAGCGTGGTGACATTTCTACCTCGATTCTTGTATGAGCAGATCAGAAAAGCTGCTAATGCTTTCTTTCTCTTCATTGCCTTACTGCAGGTATGTTTCTTTTCTTAAATTAAAATGGCTGCACAAGTAGTTCTGTTCCATATAGGAAAAGTAATTAGTCTAGGACAGCCATCCCCCATCTGGTGCCATCCAGCTGTGTTGGAATACAGCTCCCAGTGCATGTTGGATTAGAAGCCCCATCATCCTTTAGCCGTCATCTTTTAGCTAACTGGTAGAAGCAAAGACATTGCTTTAGCCATGTGGACTCCTCCTCTGCATTCTTCACAAATATGTGCCGAATAATCCATGAGAATGATGTATCCACAGTGCCTAGTCTTTCTGGACAGATAATCCAGAACTATATATGCCCAGCCGTCCATATATGCCCAGCCGCCCCTTGAGATCAGCAGGAGAGGCCCTCCTCCGGGAGCCCTCAGTGAAGGAAATTAGGAGCGTGGCTACTCGGAGGAGGGCTTTCTCAGCGGTGGCGCCTAAGTTATGGAATGCGCTCCCCAGAGAGGTCCGCCTGGCGCCGTCGTTATTTGTTTTTCGGCACCAGGCGAAGACCTTTTTATTTATGCAGCATTTTAGATGTTAATATTATTGAATTTTATTCGGCCAGGGCAGCTTATTTTATTTTACTGTATTTATTTTATTTTACTGTATATATTTTAATTGTCATTGTTTTAATGTACTTTGTATTCGATGTTGTAAGCCGCCCCGAGGCCTTGGCAAGGGGCGGCATAGAAATGTTTTAATAAATAAATAAATAAATAAATGTGAACTCAATTTAATGTATACAGTAGTCTTCTGCAAGCTGATGCTGCAAATCCCCCCAGCAGCCAGCATGGCCATTGGGGATGATGAGAATTGTAGTCCAGCACATCTCGGTTAATCTTGATGTAGAATGAGATGGACAAACAAATAGCAATGCTTTCAGCCTCTCAGTGTTGATGGGCTGCAAACAACAACAGCGTTAATTAAATACAGGCAGGAGGAACTTGGGACGCAGTCGGGGTCAGTGGCTTGGGCTGGAGCCTGAGATGAAGTGGTTAGCACTGCAACGATCAAGCAAAGCAACCAGTCAGAAGGCGTCCTGCTGCTTCCCAGTCACAGGGACCAAACTGGCACACCTCTGTTCCTTTCTCTGGCTAAGCAGCATTTCTCAGCCTCGAGCCCCCAGCCAGCAATTCTCATCATCCCTGTCCCTGGGCGAGGCTGGCTATGATGGGAATTGCAGTCTCACCACATCTGGTCCAAATTTGGGAAAAACAAACCTAAAGAATGCTCTTAGTTCCAATGTAATTATGTTAGGTTGTGTCCCTGTGAGATAGTTCCAAAATGAATGTAACACAATGCTAACAATGCATTTTTTTAAGTGTGGGAGGGAGCAGCTTCCAGAGAGGGGCATTCGGAAAGGAGAAGCAGCAGTAGAAAGTGGATGCTTGACTTTTTCATCGCCCAGGATTTTTCTGCCCTGAATATCCCACTGAGTCATATGTGCTTCTGTTTTGAACCCTGTGAAGGCAAAGCAACAGGGAAGCAGACTTGACTTGGACTGGGGATTCAGTGGGGAAGCAAAAGTGGGAGGGGTGCTTCCAGCTCTGGGCACCAAGATTTAAGAAAGATGCAGGTAAATTAGGAAGGGTCCAGAGGAGGGCAACAAAAATGATCTTGGGTTTGGAAACACTGCCCTATGAGGAGACACTGAGGGAACTGGGCATGTTCAGCCTTGAGAAGGGAAGACTGAAGGGGACATGATATCCCTCTCTAAGTTCTTCAAAGGCTGTCACAGAGAGAAAGGTCAAGATCTCTTCTTGCTGATGCCAGAGGGTAGGACATGGAATACTCAGTTCAAGTTGCGACAACCCAGATTCAGAATGGACATCAGGAAAAGCTTCCTCACTGTCAGAGCAATGCGAGAGTGGAACCAGCTGCCTAGAGAGGCTGTGGGCTCTCCCACACTAGAGACATTCAAGGTGAAACTGGACAGCCATCTGAGTAACATGGTGTCCTGCAACAGCAGAGGTTGGACTTGCTGGCCTTCATGGTCCCTTCCAACTCTACCATTCCATGATTCTGTGATCTTCCCCTTTCCACCTAACACCTTCTCTCCATACACACACCTTCCTGAAACTGCTTTTATTTAAATAGATGGCATCAGGGCTCTTGGTCTGCATTTTCAGCATTAAAGAACCTCCTGGCCTTAGGCATGCTCAGTACCATTTTCACATATTCTTTTGCCTTCTCCTTTCCTTTTTAGCAAATTCCAGATGTCTCTCCAACTGGAAGATATACCACTTTGGTGCCATTGCTCTTTATTCTAACCGTTGCTGGCATCAAGGAGATCATAGAAGACTATGTAAGTATGTCTTGGGCATGTTGAGGAGGTTCAAGCAGTCAGTCTTTCCCAAATTTTCTCCTTCACCCACTCTGCAAGCTTGCTGAGCTTAGCTCTGCCCCTCAAGAGCTACTTAAATGGAGGAGGTACAAGTAGGAAAAGACACTTTGGGGCAAAGAACTGTTAAGCAGGCCTGATTTAACTCAGTATTGCTCCTAGGGGCTTATTATCCCCTCAGTGTTCATTATGGTGGCCTTTTCACTGTGCTAATCCACCCAAAGTGTCATCAGAGTAGATTAGAGTAGGGTTCCAGGATACCTTCATTTTTGCTCACAAAAAGTGCTCAAAGCCCCAAATGCTAGAACAAGCTCATGGCCACAGATAATCAAACATGTGTATGTTTGTCTCATTCCTGATTCCAAATCTGACCTAAATCAAATTGGATTTGATTAAAGCCGCACTTTGGATTGTGGGGGAAATGTGCACTAATTTCAGGAGTTTTGTGGAAATCTCCTGTCCGATTGCTGCTCCATTGATGCATATCTCCTATTTCTGCTCAGTGAGCAGTGACTGCAGGTAGGAATCGAGTTAAGGTGCCACTGCTGAGAAGTCCCTGATCCCGATAGTGGAACATAAAATAACTTCTTCCAGGGAGATTGCCTGGAAATTCCCAGCAATCTCCAATGTATGCCATAAAGACGGTGTTGTACCTTTGGCTTATCTAGCTAGTTTTGTCAGCACTGGCTGGCAGCAGCTGTCCCAGTTTCAGGCAGGAATTTTTCCAGCCTTACCTGGTGATACAAAAATTGAATCAGGGACTTTCTGCAGGCAATACACATTGATGGACTGCCCCTCCCTGAAAACCACAGCCCTGCCCGCCACATATGTCCATGCGTGCAACACCGCTTCAGCACCGATTTCTCCAACTTCAGTTCCTCTCACTGTATCAGGAACTACTCTTCAGTGTCTCCCAAGTCTTGGGGAAAGGTTATAAGGTAGCACAGGGGAGTGGCATTCTTCTTTTTCTTCTTAAAGAAGAGATCCAGAAGTTCTTCTGAGAATACAGAAACTTCCTATATGCTCTTTTGGATCCCGGCCTAATTCATTTGCTGTTTCTTGGCAGACAAAGCAGTTCTTTACCCCGCGATAGAACTTTAAAGTTCTGTTGTTATTGAAAACCTCACATGGTGAAGTTATGCCGCTGAAACTATCTGACCTTTCGGAAATTTCTGCCAAGGGCTCCACCATGTCTGCGCAAAACTAGAGTGACTTCCTGGCACAGTTTTGCATTTATTCATTATTTGTATATGAAAAGTAGAGGCAAAGCAATGCATGGGATGTTAAATATCATTTGATGCAGCTCCTCAGAGAAAGATTTTTCAGATTTAAAAGTTAAGGTTGGAAATCTTTGCATGCTAGGCACATGCCAGAAATAGTCCATGATGTCCCAGTGGACAGAATAGTCAACCCTAAGCATGGGAGATGAGATTCAGAGGGTTACTGATGGCACGCTCTTACTGAGTGCTAAGTCTAAGCTGCTCTTAGTCTCAATTCCTAGCTGTAAAACAGAAATATTATTCACTTACCTTGCAGGGTTGTTGTATGAATAAGGATGTAATCAGACAGTGGAATAAAACATAGAACTCCCATACTGGGAATTGTAGGACCCTTTCCTGTCTAAACATGTGTAGGACTGTGCTCTTAATGAAATATGAATTGCAGAGCATTGTACATTCTGAAAACAGCAAAAGCAGATAGAACAGTTTGAAATGACTACAATCTGTTAGCTTTCTACAGTGCTTTGCAGTCTGCTTTTGCCCAATAGCCTGTGGAAGATGCTTAAAACGAAGGCTTTTAAAAAGGATTAGCAGCAGAGACCTGATCTTCCCACAATTATTTCCACTAAAAGAAGGCTACTCTTCTTTCATCTTCATTCCACCATCTGCAGGGATAACAATGTTAAGTTATCCTGTAGGATGTTGAAAAGCTTGCCAAGGTATTATAAAGCAGTCTGAGTTCTTTTTAAAAAGCATTATATAAATACAAAGATCTATTGTGTTTTTTTCCTGGTCAGGATATACAGTGGTTAAAAGGCTGCTTCATTTTGCACTTATTGGCAGTAATGTTTGGTCTCTCGCACACAATAGACAATTACGTGCTCTTGAACACAGTAGAAAGTATCTTGCCTTTCAGTCTTTCTGCTTTGCTTTAGCCTCCAATTGTCGAACCAGATTCAGCCTGGGGGGCAAATTCCATTTTGGAGATGCTCTCCAGGCTGCATCCCATTGGTGCGTGAAGCCAAAGGCAAAAGGGGCCAAATATGCCAATAGTTTAATCGTAAAGCTCTTTCTTTGACTTCTCCTAAGGGCAACAAGGTTTAGGAGAGGCCTTTCAGCCTTTAAAAATGGTGTAGTGGGGGAATGCGGAGAAGCCAGGGAGACACCAAAGGAGAGGTGGTTGGCGGGATGGTAATAGAGCCAAGAGAACAGGGCAGCCCTCCTGAGGAACCCTGAAGTGCTGGACTGGGACCATCGGTGAGACAGTTGCGTAGCCAAGATTTTGCAACACTATTTTAGTTTCCCAGGTCCCTTCTCATGGTGTTCCAGCCTGCGTTCTAAAACTAATCAAATGTGTCTTCTTTGGCTTTCCAACAGAAAAGACACAAGGCGGACAGTGCAGTGAACAAAAAGAAGACAGTGGGTAAGTCCTATTTGCATTTCTCTTCATCCATAGACAACAATAAAAAAATCACAACCTGTCTAGAGGGTGATTTCTTTGCATTTTAATGATTTGTAATTTATGGGTAATACCATGATCTGCAAGGAAAAAATTACCTGCATCTTTAAATGCCACATGGTGGGAGTCCCAACTGAGAGTTTTATCTTTTGTGTAATTATTATAAAAAGGACTGACATATGGTAGCTAAGCTGTGTTGAGGGAGTCCCTAACCTATATTGCATGATCTTGATGATCAGTCCTGGGAGGACTTGTAATATCCTACTTCAATCTGTTGTATTCATCGCTGGCACTTGCTTCATATTTGCTTCTTGCTTTTATCTGCTGTATTGTCATGGGCAATGGCTGATTCCTTTCTAAGGAAATGAAAAGGAATTATAGTTGTGCCACATCATGCAGCACTATTGTCTCCAATTTGCCAGTTGGGTAGGAGCAACCTGTGGGTCACAGTGCATGCCTAGTATGCCACGACATGTTTCACCATGGGGAAGCGGGTGCTGCATGTTGGCCTGTTCAGTCAATTCAGTTCGTTTTCTTTAAGGATACACTTCTGTGGCTTCCCTAGAGGTCAGAGGATTCTTTGAGCTCTCCCACACCAGGGACATTCAAAAAGAAACTGGACAGCCATTTGAGTGGAATGGGATGGTGTAATATGGTGTCCTGCAACAACAGGGGGTTGGACTTGATGGCCTTCATGGCCCCTTCCAACTCTACTATTCTACGATTCTGTGAGTCTCCACCTCTTTGTAGCTGGTGCAGGAAGACCCTCCACAGTGAAGTTGCTACTGAGTGGTAAAGGAAGAAAAAAGCGTGGCTGCCAGAGCATGGGGAGGGCAGAGACTGAGGATGCCAAGTTTTCAGAATGCAGCCTTTGTACTACATATTTCAGTCCTTATGGCCCAAAAGCCAAAGATATCAGGACAGCTCGTAACAATGCAGCATAGCTCATCATTTTTATGTTCCATCTTTATTTTGTAGATTATTCTGGGATCAGGTCAGGCTACATCCAGCACTTCAGATGAATCCAATGAGTGGATATCAGTGCTGTGTAGTGACTAGAGTCTTGGATAGGAACTCAGGGGGCTTGAATTCTAACCTGCACTCAGCCATAAAACTCACTGGGAGATTTCTGGTCCTCCCACACTTGCTGAATTTGCTTGTTGTTGTGAGGATGAAATGCTGAGGAGGGCTCAGCATTGGGTTCTGGGGGGGGGGAACTGTGGGCTATAACAAACAGATACATAAAATAATGTGGGGTTCAGAGGGCTTCCAGACAGGAGTTCCTAGCACTACCAGTCAAAAGACATTGTGTGGCTCTTCAGTCTTTTCCTCCTCAATGAATTAATATGGTCAAGGATAAAAAGGTGAATGGGAAAACATGGAGGTGACAAATGGAACAGGATGTCATCTGGACCTTCATGAAAATCCACAAAGGAGGCAGGGCATTTGCATAGCAAGAGCCTTATCTGGAAGCACTCAAGCATCTTCTGATGCCCCACAGAACTGCAGAAAAAAGAAAGCTGTGACAATACAGCAGGTTTGCCCAACCTAGTGCAATCCAGATCTTTTGGACTGCAACTACCAGACTTCCTGACCATTTGTGATGCTTGGCAGCAGATTGGAAAGCTAGCAAAGAACCCCGAAGAGTCATAGCCTGTTGACAGGAAATGTGGAATGTGCAGCTCTCCAGGTGTCAGTGACCTGCAGCTCTTCCTATCCATGGAATTGCAGTCTGACAACATCTTAAAGGCCATGTATTACTCATTCCAGCTATAGACAATTAGAGCCAGATGGCTCCTTTTGTTCCAGTGACACTTTGGGCTTATAGGAACTTAAGTCGTTGTGTTATATGTTGGCGTCTAGTTGGGTCCTTGCCTGTCTAGCAACCACTTCTTCCTAGATTGGCCATCCAGAAAAATCACTTGTAGTTCAACTTGTTCTATGGGACTTATTGTCATCCTTGCTGTTTATTTCATTTCTATACCACCCCATGGCCAAGGTATTCTGAGCAGTTTACAATATGCATAAAAACAAAACAATACACATATAAACATGCACACATAAATGCACATAAATACACACAAACACAAAAACAAAACCATACACACATAAAAACAAAGCAGCGTTAAAATAACTTTGAATGAGATTTATTTATTTATTTATTTATTTATAGTTTTTATATGCCGTCCCCATTGCTACACAGCCTCGGGACAGCTCACAACACAAATAAAACAAATAGAATTACAATTAAAACTTGGAAACACACTGGCTGCATAATTAAAATTATAAATATTAAAGATGATTAAAATACTGTTTGAATAAAAAGGTCTTGGCCTGGCGCCGAAAAACAAATAATGACAGTGCCAGGCGGACCTCTCTGGGGAGCATATTCCACAGATGGGGCGCCACCGCAGAGAAGGCCCTCCTCCGGGTACTTTGCTTCCTGATACCTCTTACGGAAGGCTCCTGGAGGAGAGCCCCTGCTGCCGATCTCAAGGGGCGGGAGGGCAAGTATGGCTCCCGCCCTTGTTAAAACATACAGTAAAACTGACCCTGTAAAAGAGAAAAATACAAATCAGCTGGGATGGCGGTTCCTTCAGGCTCCTGGGCAGCTGAGTAAACCTGTAAAGGCTTCTGCATAAAGGGCCATCTTAACCTGATACCAAAAAGATATTAATTGGCAACAATTGTTTTTTTGGAAAAAATCCAGCAATGCAATTCTTTTTTCTTCCCCCAGTTTTAAGAAATGGGATGTGGCAGAACATTATGTGGAAAGAGGTAGGAACTATTTGTTTCTATTTAATATAATCCTGAGTGGTTTTGATCTCCTTTGGGGTTTCGGAGATGGGCTTTGAGCATTCACAAGCAAGTTTAGAAGGCTATATATAAACTGTGAACTTATTCTCCAGCAGTGGGTCCTTATGTATCCAGAAATGCACTATCTACACACAAGAGCAAGGGGTCTGCAGGTGCGGAGGAAATACACATGTCAATTAGAAAATCCTAAGGAGACTGTTAAGGATTGGACCCTACCCACTGATCAAGGACTGTTGGCTGACTGTTGAAAAGGAGAAAATGGGAAATCAAGCATGAATAAGAAGGGGAAGGGAATGGAGTTTCCTGGAAAAGGACACGGCTGGCTGGCATCTTGAAACAGGAGTACTCTACACTGAAACATTTTTGCATCTTCCACTTGTAGCTTTTTAATTTCCTGATTTAATGATAAGCAATGAATAATGGGTATATCCAGGAACACAGCCAACTGATAAAATTAAATGCTTGAGGTGTTTTTTTCACAGCACTGCTTGGTTAGTTTTTCAAGACAGTTAATTTCATGAAATCTTGAAAGCCGAGAGGGATATGATACAATTTGCCTTTCAGCTTTTAGCCCATGCTATAAGCCATATTATTCCCTCAGGGAAGACTATTTAAAATGGGTAGATTAGAAGGAATATAGCAGACTATAAGAGATACTTGGGGCACATGTCCTGCTCTTAATGAGACCACAGGATGGTAAGTTCTAGAGGAGGTTCACAACACACTGTAACACTATGTAAATGCAAAGGAATTCTTCAAATGATATAGTAAATAAAAAATAAGAAGAAATAAGAGCTGTCTCAGTATGCCTTAGGCAGCTAGGGAGAAATAATTTTGTCCTTCTGAAAAAAGAGAGCAGACTTCAAAAGCCTCAAAAGAAATCAAATCTGTCATTGTAAAGGGCTTCTGTTGTAGCTTTGTCAGGTAAAGCTAACAGGCAGTAATGTACAGCCATCTCTGTCAATTCTTCTAAATGTCACTGAAGTTCACTGCAGGTGGGTTACAGTTTGATGCAAGGGTGCTCGAAGCAGTGAGCACTATAAAAGTATGCGCAGTCCTATTCTGAGCTGCTCCAATAATGTGTGGATACTGTTCCTCAGCTGTTGGTGGCTTTGACCAATGCCATCACTAGAAAGATGGGGTCCCCAGTGGGGCAGCAGGAGCATCTCCCAGTGTGTGTCCATTTGGGGTTTACAGGGCATCCTTGCATCAGACTTTTCAATGCAAGCACCAGCAGTGGAGGCCAGTGGAGCTCACAGATGGGTCCCCACTGACCTGACCTGCCTTGTGTCAGAAATGAGCATTTCCACTAGCGTCACTGCTAATTCCAAGAACCTCTAGCTCCTGCTATGTTTGTTGGCACCTTCTCTGCAAAATGCGAGCCCTTTCTCGGTTGTTGGTAGCTCCAAAGCAATGCCACAGCCAGAGAGATTTTCTCCTGGGTAAGGAAGCGTGCCGGGGAGCAGGATAAGGAGACAGCAGAGCCACTCCTGCCATCTCCTGTTGAAATTGCTCCTCTGTAGTCCACGTCCACCCTCTTCTCCCCAGTCTCTTTCCATTTTTCTTTTTGAGCCTTCAGATGCAGTCTTTTCCCCATATCCTTGCAGAAGTTTCATACCCTGGTGAATGGTCATTTTATTTGAGAATTGTGGCTGGTGGGCAAGAACAAAGACCCAAAGCTGTGTTGATCCAGCAAGAAGGTCACCAGAACACTGAATGCCCATTGATAGCATCCGATTGTTTTCCCCCCTCTCTTGGTAATTAGCGAGTAACCATATGGATGGACTTTCTCTTTGTCTTTCTCTGTTCATTTTCTCTTTTTTCATGCTGCTGCACTCCTGCCCCTGGCTCAACAGGTGGCCGTGGGAGACATTGTGAAGGTCACCAATGGGCAGCCCATCCCCGCAGACATGATCATTTTATCTACCAGGTCAGATATACAGAGTGGGTGTGAAAATGATGCCTCTGCTAAACTGAGGTTTTAAAGACCTTGGGTTGACATCCGTGCTCTCCTGCACTTCTTTTCTGTGCAAATCACCGAGGTGTTGAAACACTTTCAGCTCAAGGGCCAGATTCCATTTGGAGAAGGGACTGGGTGCCGCATTCCAGGACTGGGCATGCCCAAGAGCAAAAGCGGTGGGGCCAAAACCCAGCATGGATTGGCGCAGAGCTCTGGCTGCCAGTCACTAAGCCTTAGGAGGGGATTTCCGCCTTCTCGACTGGGGAAGAAGCTTCACAAAAGCCTGGAAAATACCAAATGATTGGCACTCAGAGGAAAGGCTAGAGGATGATGTTTCCATCTGGAGGACCCCCAGAGAGCAAGATTGGACCACCAGGGTGCCAGGTTTAGCCCACAGCCCTAAGATTCTGTATCCCAAATATTTTATTTATTTTATTTATTAAAACATTTTTATGCCGCCCCATTCGCCGAAGCCTCAGGGAGGCTTACAACAATAAATAAAAGTAATTATAATATAAATTACAATAAACATAAACATTAAAAATCCAAAAAATACAATATAAAATAAGCCGCCCTGGCCAGATAAGATCAAATAATACTAACGGTTAAAATGCCGCTTAAATAAAAAGTTCTTTGCCTGGTGCCGAAAAGCAAATAACGACGGCGCCAGGCGGACCTCTCTGGGGAGCGCATTCCATAACTTAGGCGCCACCGCAGAGAAAGCCCTCCTCCGAGTACCCACCCTCCTAATTTCTTTCACGGAGGGTTCCCGGAGAAGGGCCTATCCTGCTGATCTCAAGGGGCGGCTGGGCATATATGGATGTAAGCGCTCCTTCAGGTAATATATTGATACATCCAATTTCTAGAGTCCAAAATGTTTGTCAAACTACTAGCACAACACGCCTTCTCATACCATACAATGGCTCTAATAGCATGTTGTTGAAAAAGCGGGGACACTACTGCTTTCACCTTGGGAAGTAGCCCCCAAATCGGAAGTGAAGGTTACAGATTCCATCTCAGAATGAGCATCGGTTCCTTTCACTCAAGGTGGCATTCAGACGGTTTTCAGGAGGTTTCCCATCCAGGCAATGACTAGAAACAGGGCAGCTTGGCTTCAGCAAGGTGGCTGCATCATGGTCCTTCAGACTATGCCATCAGCAGCAGGCTCAGCATTAACTCAATTACTTACCCACTTCCCAGCTTTGTCGTTGAAGCAGCTTAAAAATTATAAGGCATGATGCAAACAAGCATATCACTGAGAGATTTGAAAATAAATCCAAACTGCAGCTTTACGAGACCATAAAACCACACTAAATATCTCCACATTTCATATGTCCCACTAAATCCATTAGAAGCAAGAGCTTGTGAGGTTTCTTCCCATCAGACAGAAGCCTCTGAGCTTGCAGTCTTCTGAAAATCCTGAGCCTTCCCAGGCTGCTGCCAGCAAGATGGCAGAAGGACAGAAGCAATTTTGCCTGCTGTTCCTCCTCTTCCTCCTCTTCATTCCCTCACAACCCAGCTAGATGGGTCTCTGTCTAGCCCACTTACTGGTGGTGGGCTGGAATGGGTGATGGAAAGGTTGTCCATAGTTCTTATTGCAACTTCAAAAGGAAACTAGCACAGTGTTGGATTTCTGGTTCCAAGGTTGTAGGAGTGCCTACAGCCTTGGGATAGGGCATCTTAAATATCCTATGGTTCCTGGCATGCTGTCCCAGAGGCTATAGAATGTCTTTGTGGGAGTTGTCTGGTAACTTCCATCACCAATTTCTGGTGCACGTCTGTCACAAAATAATTTCCTCTTCAATGAGGCTCAATTCTGTGTTGCCACTTTATTTATTTATTTGGAATACTTCTATGCTGTCCCATTCGCAAAAGCCCCAGGGCAGCTTCCAGTACAAATAAATAGCTATACAAATACATAAAAACTGGAAACATCCCAGCATAAATATAAAATCAATAAATAAATTCAACAATTAAAATAACAGTTAAATAAAAAGGTCTTGGCCTGGCGCCGAAAAACAAATAACGACGGTGCCAGGCGGACCTCTCTGGTGCAGTGTCTTGATGGAGAAGGGAGAAGAAGAAAGGGAAGACCAAATATGAGATGGGTTGACTCTATAAAGGAGGCCACAGCCTTGGATGTCCAAGAGCTGAACAAGGCTTTCATGGACAGGATGAGAATTTTCATTCATAGGGTTGCCATAGGTCAGAGATGCCTAAATGGCACATAACAGCAACTCAGCTGGGTGGAGAAACTTCAAGAGACAATAGGAATCTTCCTTTCCAGAGCACCACTTGGTCCTGAGGAAGGAGTTGCCTAGTTGTGGTTCCTCCATGTTGATGCTATTCAAACAATGTTGTGCTGGAAGAGGGTCTTGTGCTGCCATGGTGTTATTGTCAAAGGAACTGAGAGTCTCATGCAAAGTTACCTGGAAGTAAATCTCCTTAAATTTTGTGAGATGGGCTGCAGAGTAGACATGCAAGTGATCGCAGACTGTGGACAAATGTTAATCTTTGTGCTGACCAATTCTTTTGGCAACAGTGCTATTTGTTTGCTTCTTCTCTGATTTGTTTGTATACTTTAGAAGAAGGCCTCAGTTTACCAGAGACTGCTTGTTCAGAAGAAGGCATGTTTTCTGATTTTGAATAAAATGTGCATTGCGTTGATTTTTTCTATATGTGCATATTAAAAATGGATCAAAATTCTTAGGGTAGATAACAAATTCCATCTCTACTATGGGAAGGCAGAATCAATGGCTGAATAAAATTATTGTTTGGCGATCTCCTGACCATTTATTCTTATTTTGCAGGCACTTTCCTTTTAGAAATTGTTTCTAATGCTCGGTGTAATGGATAGATAACAATTTTATTGTATTTTTACAGCGAACCTCAGGCAATGTGCTATATTGAAACAGCTAATCTTGATGGGGAGACGAATCTTAAAATACGACAGGTAAAATTAAATTACAAATTTGAAAGCTGATGACAAAGACTTTTAGGAGTAGCACAGAATTTTTGCATGAATAGTTGGAAGATTATATTTGGAGCTAGATAGCCACATATTGTTTCTTCTATTAAAGTAGCAGCATTATACTGTAGATTGGAGCATGTTTATTTTCATCAGCCAACAATCATTGCAATTTCTATATGCATAATACAAATGTATAACTAAACAAATTGTTACTGATTAAAAGATTAAAAAATGTGCTCTATTGCCATACAGGAACTTGCCTTAATAGCAACTGCTAAAATTTATGTAGACTTTCAGCAGATCGCTGTACGAGAAAAGACACATAGAAATCAGAAGAATGTCGTGGGAGAGATAACAATAGTACGCAACTTAATTCTTTCCACGTGCCTGTATGAAATGGATCAAACTGTCATTTAATAGCCAGCGTTATGAGCCAGTGTTTCAGTATTGCCATCTCCGCATCGGCATGCATGATTTGCTGCAGGCTTCTGTGGGAATGATCACTGGACAATCAAAATGGTTGCTCAGGGGAGCAATTCAGTCATGCCGGGGAACTGGGCAATGTGGCACCCATGGGCACCAGCGCTCTTCTGGACACCTTTCTTGGTGCCTGCCTAGGAGACCAACCCCTCCCACCATGGGTTCAGGGGAGAAGTTTGGTGTTTTGGGTATGTTACCTCTGCTTCTTACTCAGGGAAGGTTTGCATGACATGACAAGCCAGGGTGTTTTTAAGTCAGGACTGTCTGTTCAATTGTCTGAACCCTGTCATGCTATTTGACCATGGTATGTTTGGCTTTTAGGAACTGCAATAAGAAACCATGGTCTATTCTATGGTTTTCATGCTTCGTCATAGTTTGCTTGGTCATCCAAAGCTAGCATGGTAGTTTCTGTGGGTCTGGTATGCAGCTATCACAGAGTAGCCTGGAAAGAGTAGCAGCTGCAGGAGCTGTTCTAGCCATCTGGCATGAGATTGGATTTCAGGCACAGTGATTCATGGGATGCATGTCAACAGCAGGAGGACTGGGCGAGGAGCTTTGAAACCATGCTAGCGCAGAACTGACTTAGTCATCTGTCCGGCACATCCAGGCAAAAAGCTGTGCCCTGTGGAAGCCATTCTGGATTGCTTGTCATGATGTGTGAGCCCAGCCCTTTTGGGCAGAGGCACCTGCTTGGGGTGGTGCCCAGGAGAGTTTCTCACATTTCCAGGTGTGCCCCTGGCCCAAAAGGTTGGCATAATCCCACTTTAGAAAGAGCTCTTCCGCATGATGCTAGTTGTCCGCTAAAGTGCACTCCTTGTGCAGCAGCACCTGTGAAACAGTGACGGAAGTCTAGGGAGACATCTTCCTTGATCCTTTCTAGGATTGTTCCAGCAGGCTTAGGATCACGGGAAGCTGCTTCATAGCAGGTCAAGTTGTGGTTCACCTAGCCAAGTAGGGTCCCACACTGAGGTTGTTGTTGCTGTTGCCGGACTCCTGATCCATTTAATTTGAGGCAATCCTGAACCCTGTGCTAGCAAAGCATGTCCTCTGTTGCTGAACTACACCTCCTCCGAAAGCATTGCTTGCAACAACCTTCTCCAGATGGGTTGGTATATAATCACTTGAGAATGATGAGAGTTGTAGCCTTACACGTCTGGAAGGTGCCAGGTTAGGAAAACATGCAAGGATAATACATGAATCATGTATGGGCATATCTGCTGCTTGGTTCCTCCCAGGGCTTGACTCAGACCTCTGGTCTCCAGTCAAGGGAAGACTTGATGAAGATGGCTGGGAAGATCGAGTGTGAGGGCCCCAACCGACACCTTTACGACTTCACTGGAAACCTGCGTCTGGATGGCCAAAGGTATTTGCGGGTCTCAGAATGACGGTGGTGATGCTGTAGCTTCATTCCAGATGCCAGTGGACTCCCTCTGCTGTGTGTGGCAGTGCATATATGGCAGGGAGGAGAGGGGGTGGTCTCTGAGAAAGAGGAACTCTGTTGGGGCTCGTTCTCTAGGTGTGGGACAAGAGGAGAGAACAGGCAGTAAGACTCTTAAGTCTTGTTGCCTAAACTGTAAATTTTAAATGGATGTGGCATTGACTTCCCTTGTCTGCATTACCTGGGAATGCATGGCGTACACTACATTATTTAATCCACCCAAGGGGAGAACTTTGCTGACTTTATCATTATCCGTTTGTGTTAAGGGTGCCTTGCACTATATGTTCTCTTTGAACTACATTTGTAATTTCCCGCATTCTATCTCTTCTTTTTCCTCAGTCCAGTTCCAATTGGGCCTGACCAGATCTTACTGAGAGGTGCCCAGATAAGGAACACTCAGTGGGTTTTAGGAATAGTTGTCTATACTGGACATGATACGAAACTTATGCAGGTAAAAAGGCTTTTCATGCAAACTAAAGCTTACACTTGTTCCTGTTGTGAGTTCAAGAGCTTTCTTTTCAGCTGTTTTTGTGATCATGAAGAATAGTGCTTACAACTGGGGCATTGTAGCTGTGACTTTTTGGCATGTTTTATTATAGTAAGTTTAATTCTGATTTTTCAGGTTTTCTTATAATGTTTAAATGATTCCCTCTCTATTCAACTGAACTTGATCCCATTTTAACTCATATGTTTTGCAGTTTTATGCTTGCACTTGGTGTACAGTGCTACCTATAGTTCAATTCTTAAACAAAAGGAGAATTATCCTTATCATTGTTATTTTATTTCTATTGTATTATTTATTTCATTTCTTAGAGATGATGCACTGAAAAGGGGGAGGGTAGATGGAAGAGGGAAATAAATGCAAGAACAAGAGAGGAAAGTGAAGTGAGGTATTTTTTCAATGGTGAAATTTATAGGAATTAACAACTGAAGATTTGCACAGCATGGTTATAAATGTTATCACATCTTAATGGCCATAGTTCACACTGCTGTTAAAAAGATATGAAGGAATGATCAATAGCTTTATACTTTACACAGTAAAGTTGGGGATTCTAACTCCTGTTGCTTTGCTAAAACATCCTGCAAGCCCCACTGAAGAAAGGCATATAGATCATGTAAATAAAGAAAACAAATAAAAAGCGCTATTACTAACTGTGCCAATATTTTAGAATTGGTCTTGGTGGCATCATAACCTGTGGCAATGAGATGGCACTGGGAAATTCTCTCAAAGCCATTTCTTGAGATGGTGCAGCTAAGTCACAGCCTGGCCAAACATCCCCTTATTACAGCATGGCAACAGTTGCGCTGCAGAACAAGATGGGCTGGGCTGAGAACATGACGGGGTAGGATAGGGGCATATGTAACTGAAGCTGGAACGAGATGTTCGGATAAACCCTACCCATACAAGGCTGTGGTCAGAAATAGCAGAACTGTATCACATTCTTCCCATCATCCCTGTAATATTTAGAGCAGGAACCGCAGACCTGTGGGCCAAATACCTAGAAACAGAGCGAGTCAGAAGGGGTCTCCCGGGCCATCTATTCTTTTCCCTGGCTCCAGCCGGCTTCGCTCATGACATGCTCACCATGTGCATGTCCAGCCTATCTTTGAACACCCTCACCAATGGGGCCTCAACGACCTCCTGTGGAAGCCCATTCCATACCTGAATAAGTCCCACCTGGGATCCCACTCTTGGCCTCGGGTGCTCCTTCAAACACCTTTCATTGGATTCTTTTGCATGTTTTTTCCTTGTTTCTTAAAGGTTCTCATATAAGGTTTACTTACTGGCAGTAAGCTCACATTTGATGGTATTTTGTCCCTACCATCTTTGGAAGGTGGCTCCTGAGAGCATCTTGGGAATTGAATTCATCCCTTGGGCTGAAAAAGGTCCAAAAACCCTGGCCTAAACTCTAGTGCAGTTTCCTCCAACCCAATATTCTCTGATGTGTAGCACAGCAACTCCCATCATTATGAGTTAGCATGGCCAATAATGGGATGTGTAGTTCCTTACATATGTAGAGCACCAGATTGTTCTTTCCTAAGACCACAGTAGCAGCTCAACAAATGATTCTTTTCCACTGTTCCTTCCCAGAATTCAACCAAAGCTCCTCTGAAGAGGTCAAATGTGGAAAAAGTGACCAATGTGCAGATCCTTATTTTGTTCTGCATCCTTCTCGTCATGGCTTTAGTGAGTTCTGTGGGTGCCTTACTATGGAACAGAACACATGGAAAAGTCATCTGGTACTTTGGCTCAAATGGTAAGATGGATAAGCATTGTGACTTGGGGGTCAAAAGCACTGAACGGTTAAGGGGAAAGAGGAGGCCCTTGTAAATTCATATGAATGCCTTATGCATATGAATACCCCCCTGTGGCATTGAGAAGTTAAGGCACTCACCTTAACTCTCACCACGTGAGCAGTAAATCCCTTCTGGCAGCCTTCTCCAACTTGTTGTCCTCCATATTTGTGGCCTGTGGGGCTCCAACCCCCATCATCCCCATCAGACCCTGCTGAGTGGGGGTTATGAGAGTTGTAGTCCAACAAATACGGAGGGCACCATCTTGGGAGAGAATGCTCTATTGTCTTGGCCTCTCTGTTTGCTTCCTCTTCACATTTCCATGGCCTTTCAGTCCCTTAGAAGCAGCTGTGGCCGCATGCCAAGGAGAAGCAATGGGCCTTATTGTCTCAGCTGCTTACAGAGCTCATATTGCACTGTTATGTATGCAGCAAGGGCAAGGCTGTGTTTGACTTTCTTTTGGTACTGTTTATCTGCTCATATCTGATTTACCTGAAACCTGCATACAAAAGACTTGAAAGACAATAGGTGTTGCAGGGCAGAAATAAGCAAGGATAGCCAGTCTCTGTAAGCATAATCCAGATATCTCTAGGGCCAGCTGTGGGGCACCATTCCAAGCTTCAGCTGGTGAAGAAAGGGGAGAGGAGATATCAGTGCTGGGGACAGGATTAGCAGGAAATTCACTGCTGCAAAAGAAATGATAATAAGGCTATGTTTTTGACCTAGCCTTAGATGCAGGCATGGGCTGGGGGGCACGCAACCTTCTCCACATGTTCAGTGCATCGGTGGAGGGGACCCCAGGCCTACTCATGGCCATCACTGCATTTCCCCCCATACTTTCCCCACTCCATGCATGCCCACGGGAAGTTCGTCAGAAATGCATGGAGCATTCCAATTCCTGTACATGAAGAGGATGGCTGGGCACCTGCCAAGGGCCCAAACCCAAGCACGGGCCCACTGAGGAGATGCTCCTGGGTTTGCCCCTTCTCTTCCCCACTGCAGCCTGCTTATTCACCTCCTCCCTCCCTGGCACAGGTAACAGTGGTGTTGAGAAGCATGGCAGATGCCACTGCCGACTTGCTTGCTGCCTCTCTGCCTGCGCAACAAGCAGCTGGTAGTGATGGGGAGAAAGAGGCTGAAGTGCAAGAGCAGCTGGTGGAAAGGGGCAGTGAGAAGCAGGGCTCACTGAGGGAGGGTCCCAGGGAGGGTCTGCTGCCCAAGGGCTTGCCAAGACCAAGCGGATCCCCTGTCCTGCAGAAGCCACTCCTGTGTAGGAGCCCTCTGAGCCAATGGCTGCACCTGTGGAGAATGTCTTCTGGGGAAAGCCAAATGGATGCTCACGGGGAGCAGGTGGCAGGGCTTGGTGACAGTCTGCATGGCCCCAGGACCCCTTGATTTGTCCATGAAGAAGTTTGTGGGGACTTCCCCATTCAAGGTCACATTGTAAAATAGGCAGGGTCTCTTCTGGCTGCTCTTTAACTAAGAACAAGCGGAATCCAGCAGCAGCTGGGAGGAAGCAGAAATGGCCATGGCTGCCAAAGGGTGCCTGAGAGGGCAGGGAACCTGTGTCTTTACTGCTAGGTTTCTGTGGGAGGCAGCTGAGGTAGTGGGCAAATCAGGCAGTGCAGCTGAAACATGCTTTTCAGAATAACAAACAGCGATCCACATGGCCAGGAACCAGTCGTACCACTGGCCTAAATCATGTGCAACTGGCCCTTCACCAAGAACACACCTTTGTGGTGCAGTGTGAGCTGCCATGGTTGCCTCAAACAGGTGTCTGCTGAATAGGGCACTCTCCCCTCCTTGGTCTCTGCTCAGCCATGGTCATCTCCTGCATTCCTTCCCAACTCTGAACCTCCTGATATCACTGCTGTTGAAGAAGAGGGAGGGAGGGAGGGAGCACCCCCCCAAGCTTCTCATAATGGGGCCCATGAGCTTTTTGCAAAGGGGATTCAGTGCAAATGGGCAGGTGCCAGTGGCTTTATATTTCATGGTGTGGCAGTGGGCTCCTAAATCACATTCTGGATACTATCTCATGCTGCAGACATTCACAATCAGCGGCAAAACACCTAACAATAGCTGAATTCCTTGTAGATTGTGTGACAAAAGCCTTTCTGTTAGTGATAGCCATTCTGAGTGTTTCCTCAGTTGTTGCTCATCCTTTCAGATAAATTGTCCTTGGGTGGGGTGGGATGCAGTGAAAGATGCTGATGTCTTCATGGGAGGGATGCAGCACCCCATACAAGGCCCTGGAGCAGCCTTTCCAAACCTGGTGTCCGGCAGTTGCTTTGCACCACGAGGGCCTTCATCCCAGGTCATTGGCCAAGCTGTGTGAAGGTCATTAGCTTGGGGAAGGCTGCAGTTCCTCGGTATGCTGGTCTTTGTATCCTATTGGTGCCAATCTTTTTTCACCTTAAGATAGATAATTCAGTCTCAGAAGTAGGGTTTGGGGTAGAAGCGGGAGAAGAAAAATAGAAGAGTTTAATATTTTTAAGGTGTAGGATGTGGTGATGTATCAAGGAGTAGCAGAGCAGGGTGTGGTGAGGCGAACAAATAGAAGCTGTTAGTAGATGGAATTCTGGATTCTCAGCCCCATGTTGGCTCTGGATGAGGCACGAGGTAACCATACAGTGGAGGCAGCAGCTGCAGGGCAGAACCAGTAAGAGGCAGAAAGTACTAAATGTTTCCTTCCTGGCCAGTTCTCTGTTGTAGTTCATGAGAAGAGCCCTCCTAGGTCAGACTGAATGCCTACCTAGTCCAATATGCTCCCCAAAGTAGCCAAGCAGACATCTCTGGGAAGCCCACCAAGAGAAGTGCAATAATGAGAGGGAAACTGGGATGTTTGAACTCAATGAAATTCTCCAGATTTTACTTTGAAGCTCAGTTCAGCTTGCTCTTCCAGGTTGGTTGGTTGGTTGGTTGGTTGGTTAATTCATTCAAACAGAACTGAATTTTTCAAAAATGAACCCTGGCCCACAATTTACTAAAGGATAAGAATATGCACATAAGAAATGTGCAACTTGAAACATGCACATCAAATTAAAATGCACAACTTGTTCTGCAGCTCTTAATATGCACATTTTTAAAGTATGTACATTTCCCCATTAAAGCAAGGTTATGAAAACCTTTAAAAAATTTAAAACTTTAAGCTGTGCATTTTTGAAAAGTTGTGCATCCTTTCAAGTGCGCAATTTGCAGGTGTGCACTGTACTTCAGGAGTTTGCAAACAGGAGACCATATGATTGTATTTGAGGCAGGCTTAGGATGGCAACTGAATTTTTGAGTGATTTGCAAACTGAAGCTAAATTCTAATATCCTTGCAGCGCCATTGCACTCTCCCACCATTGTCCTCCACTCACTAATATGTAGCCAAATTGCTTCTGGTCCAGGAGAGAGACTAGCCATCATAACTAGAATCTATTGATCACTTCAACTGACATTAATGTTCCTACTCCCCATTTAAGATTGACTCTACATAACTTAACTAGTGATTCCTGTAACATATCCAGAAGTACTTTGACAAAGACTTCCTTTTATATTTCCTGAGTCTCCCACCACTCAGCTCCATGGGGTGCCTTCAACCTGGGGGGCGGGGGAGAGAGAGATGAGAACAACAACAGCAACAAAATCCTTCTCTCCATCCACCTCACACCAAGCATCATTTCAGAAACCTCTTTCATTCCTACTCTTCCTGCTACTCTTGGTTTTCCTCAATTTATCACTCCAAAATGAACAGTTGTCCAGGCCAGTTGAATGATAAAAAATCATAAGAAGCGAGAACAGGTCCTTGAAGTGAATACCCAGAAGACAGACTGAGCAGATACACAGGTTTCCAGGCTACAGCCCCCATCCCAACCCATGGTAAGATATATTGGATGGCTACTCAAATTACAGTAAATATTTCAAAATTTGCATCTATCTATATAAATTGCTATATGCAGATTTTAGGCAAATATGTTAAAACTTCTTGGTGATGCATTTCCTTTTTTGTTGGTAAATGTATTTCCTTAGTAAGGGCAATCTGTAAGTGGAAGGGTGAAGCACCCTGAATTTATCTGCCTTGAAATCTTCCTCACTGACACATGCTCATGTTGGAAGCCTGTGTTTCTACTTTTTCCGTTGCCTAGCGTTGTGATCCATAACTTTTTGTGCTGCTCCTGATCACCTCTGAGAATCATTTGTGAAAAAACAGGGACAACAATGTTGTTGTTGTTGTTGTTGTTGTTATTATTATTATTATTATTATTATTATTATTAAACATTTCTATGCTGCCCCTTGCCGAAGCCTCGGGGCGGCTTACAACACAATAAAATACATTGAAATACAATAGAACATAATAAATTACCATTAAATACAAAAATACAAAAACTACATTGAGTTACAAACATAATAATATAAAATTAAAATTATCAGTATAAAATAAGTAAATAAATAATATAGGAGGAGAAAAGAGAAGGAAGAAGAAGTTGCCCTGGCCAGATCATATATGTTTTGAGCCATGTTTGCACAATGCTTAGATAGCATCTGCTCCTTTGTGTTTTGACAACATGAACAAAGGTGAATCTAAGGCTGAATCTAATCTAAGTTGAATCAGAAGCAAAGACAACAGCCAGGGGCTCTTTTTCTGTCTTAACTGAATATTTAATCTAAACATTTGGAATATGTGGGTGGGACCTTAAAGACTAACAGCTTTATTATGGCAGAAGCTTCTGTGGACTGCAGTCCAGTTGATCAGATGCATAAAATGCATGTTATCCTGTAATGTGCAGGTGTATATATGCACAAACACCATTGTCAAGTGTGTGTGTGATTTTACATTATGAGGTCAGAAGAAAATGAAATGGCAAAGGAAGTCCAGGCAGTGAGAATGACCTTTTTAACAGTGACCATTCACAGAACACTTGTTGGGTGATGGCACAGACATCCTTGCATGGATGAGCCGATTTAACATACCCAGCAATTAGAAAACCTCACATAAGTCTTGGTCCTAGTTCAAGCCATGGGAGATAAATTTGTCCTTCTTGGTGAACAGGGGCACAGATGTTTTGTATTGCAATAAGTCTTTGATGTTCCATTGTTCCAGGTGGCTTCTTTAAGGTTTGTAAAAGAGTGACCTGGGAGGTTGAAATGCTCCCCTCCTAGTGCCTGTACTTTCTGCATTTCATTTGCCTCTGACTTTGCTGTTTACAGTTTCCCTGCTGAACATGGGTTAAAATTGATGCATCTGATGAAATGGACAGCTGTGTGTGAGTGTTTCTGCTGTAATGAAACTATTAGTCTTTAAGGTATTGTTCTTTTTATGTTGTCATGGGGGTTGGTATGAGGAAGATCTTTTTAAAAGGATTCCATTCATGTAAACATTCACTTAAAGCCAAGATTTCAGTATAAATCCTGTTTTCATAGAATCAGAGAAAAGTAGAGTTTGAACGGGCCATGAAGGCCATCAGGTCCAACCTCCTGCTGTTGCAGGAAACCAATTTAGACCATCCCACTCAGACGACTGTCCAGTTTCTTTCTAAATGTCTCCAGTGTGGGAAAGCCCAAGACCTGTCTAGATAACTGGTGCCACCCTCAGATTGCTCTGACAGTGAGGAAGCTTTTCCTGATGTCCAGCCTGAATCTGGGTTGCTGAAACTTGAATTGATTATTCTGTGTCCTACACTCTGGCATTAGCAAGAAGAGATCTTGACCTTCCTCTTTGTGACAGCCTTTGAGGTACTGATAGAGGGATCTCATGTCCCCGCTCAGTCTTCTCTTCTTCAAGCATGTTCATTGGCATGTAACTCTCCGTTAAAGAGATTCTCTCTAACCTACTGTTGCTCACTCAGCACCTGCCTCGCAAACGAATCTATTCTCTTCTTGCCCCACATCGGTCTGCAGAAACGCTGTCAGTCAATTTTGGATACAATCTGCTCACCTTCATAATCTTGTACAACAACCTCATTCCCATCAGTCTGTTGGTGACTCTGGAAGTTGTGAAGTTTACTCAGGCTCTTTTTATAAACTGGGTAAGTTGTTAGACTGCGAAAGCTGGGGAACAGGTAAAACACATACACACTAAAGCATCAAGGGCTGCATTTATTTAAGCAAATTTAAGTATGAAAATATTTCATAATCTTGGCATCTGTGGTTGTAAACTGGAAAGTGGGGACAGTGATCGCAGCAAGAGTTTAAAGCTTCCAGCATCTGAAAGAAGACACACTTTGCTGGATTGCTGGGAAAGCTTTTAATATGCAAAACCAATACGGATTTCTTGAGTCTGTGGGCACAAACCCCATCTGTCTGGGAGTTCACTGTGGGTGGGATCACATGAGCCATGATGGCTTACTTTTCCTCCCTGCATGTGTCATGCACAAGTTGCACAAGTAGCACAATTACTCTTGTTGGGCATGGACCACCCTGAAAACAGCAGCTTGTTCTAGGGTTTGAGGGTGGTTGTAAACTATTCCATCTACTTGCTTTCTCCAGGTTTGGGCAAGGGTAATTTTGCTAATTAGGTGGCTTGCATGGGTAGAGAGGGGAACATGCAGAAATACAGTAGTACCTTGGCTCACGAACTTAAACCATTCCAGGACTCTGGTCATGACCCAAATTCGTCATGAGGCAAGTTAAATTTCCCCGTAAGGTTCAGTGTAAATAAGATTAATCCGTTCTGTAACCATTTTTTTAAAATCTGAAAAATGTGAAGCAAAGTGACAAAGAACAACATGGCCATCTCCCCCTCCCCACCCCGAGCAGAAGCGCGGCCATCTCCCGTTCCCCACCATGACCAAGATTGCGCCTGTCATCAGTGCGCTGGCGGGGGGGGGGGAGATGGGTGCGATCACGGGCGCACTGGGGGAGAGAGATATGGGCACAAATGGGGCGTGCTTGGGGGGGATGGAGACGGGCGCTATCGTGGCCGAGATCGAGGTTGCGCTTGTGCAGGAAAGCTGGGTGCAGTCATGGACGCAATCTCGGCCATCTCCCCACTCCCCCCACCCCCAGCATGATCGGGGCCATCTCCCCACTCGGGGTGCGGGGTGGGGTGATGGCCGTGATCGTGCTGGTTGGGAAGGGGGAGATGGCCAAGATTGCGCCCAACTTTCCTGCAGGAGTGCGCCCGTGATCACACACATCTTCCCTGGATGAATGCAACTGTGATTTTGGCAATCTCCGCACTCGGGGGAGGGGTGGGGAGATGTCTGTGATCTTGGTTGCCATCCAACGCGGTGTTTGCAACCCACATCAAAATGTTCATGAAATTTTTGTTTGCGACACAATTTGGTTGTGAACCAAGGTGTTTGCGAGCCAAGGTACCACTGTATGACATGGTTAAGTTCTTCTTGGAATGTACCATTTTGTACACAGGTGGAGGAGCAACATGTGACTGTACTACCTTTAAAAAAAGCTTGCATGTCAAATGAAAAGGCTCCAGCCTTGCTTTCCACATGCAATGATATTATCTTACTTGCCTGAAGTAGGATAGCCTATAAAAGATTAAACCATAGGCTAATTAATCTGTGTATTTGACTTAACCCCCTTCTCTTTGCTATGTACAAAATTCCATAAAATAACTCCATTGTGAGGTCTGAAGATGAATTTACAGAATTTACATCCCACCTAGGTGTGTACCAAAACAGTCTGAGTTTGCAGATTTCCTGCCTGCTTCTGATGTTATGATTACAAATAGACCCCCACCTTTTTTGTAGGGGTAGTCATGGATGAACATGTCTCTGAGATAAACCTTGATTTGCACATTTTTAAAAATGCTAATGCAATATGCAGAAATTGATTAATTCTATAGAAATCACAGTAGAGCCACATGGTTGATCTACAAGCTAGGTCAACATTTTCTTTGAGCTGTCCACTATAGTCTTGAGTTCCCTTTTCCAATCAGTTGTTGCTTCCCCAAACCTGATGATACAGTTATTAATTTGCTTGACTAGAACCCTGCCTTCCCACCAAACAGGTTACTTGATGAGGCTTAAAATCATGTGAAACCAGGAAATTTTACTAAGTCCATCATTTTAAAAGTGCTGTGTTTTCAAGACAGCAAAAAGTATTAGCCTGAAGCTTTGGCAGAGCTTGGAAAGATAGGATACAGCAAGAAGTCTATGGAAAATAGTAGTGTAGATTAAACCTTGCACTTTTTACTTGCCTTTTAGGACATTGATATGTACTATAATGAAACAGATACACCTGCAATGGCCAGAACTTCAAATCTTAATGAGGAACTTGGCCAGGTAAGAATGTTAGAATGTAAAGTTATATGGGCGAGTTATGTAAAAAGTAGTCAAGGTCTTTGTGTTCTGTGTTTGTAATCTGTGCAACAGGCTTGAGGCATACCTGGAAACAAAGCTGGCGATTTAAAACCTGCAAGACCGTGTTTCTTCAGTGAAAGTTGTTGCAGCTTCTAAATCAGGGGCGGAGAACCTATAGCCATCCATACGTTGTATGCCTTCAATGCCTATCATCCTTGTCCATGGCAGCTGGGGCTGATGGGCCACCGGTTGTCCATTCCTGTTCTAAAGCATTATGAATCACAATGACTATTCATGTGATGGAGGTTTGATTGGATCCAGGGTGCTTCTTTCTCATTGACAGCATGACTCTGCTCCCAGAAGGTGCTTGCTCCTGATTTTAGGGGAACCCTTTCTGCCCAACTGCCTCCTGTTCAGCAGGGTCCCTGGATCTTCTGCATAGCATTTTCAGGAGGCTGAAGCAGTTGCTATGGGGAGCCATGGACAGGGAATTCCTGTTCTGTGCACAGCTGCCTCATGGTCAGGTAGCCGCTCAGAGTATCTTCCTTCCGGTGCAGTATTCACAGGTGCTGGCCTGGACTAGCTGTACACACCCAGGTTGGCCATCAGACTCACCTGGACTGGATGGGCTATGCAGTCCTTTCTGTGTAAGCTGGGACTTCTGGAACAACAAGGTCTTCCTTGTCCTGTCTCCATCACAGGTTCTGGATCACCTCTGGTGTAAATAAATGTTCAGAGTTTTGTGTCAGATTCTTGTTTAGAGTAAAATAAATACTTAACTCAGCTGAAGGACCGTTTTAAAAAATCAATCTTAATTTACGTCATTGTCTTCTTCCATTTATATACTGTCTTTGCTAAAAAAAAAAGTGATCAGCAATTTCAAAAAGTAAATACAGTAATAAAAAGGACATTGAAATTATGATTTTAATAATAATGCTAATCAGCATCAGCAACAATGAAGTTAAAAACTTTCATGTAAAACAGATCTTTGAACATTTCTGTAACTTCTTCACCCGCCTCTAACCCCTATGCTAATATTACTTCTGAGTAAGCTCCATTGTGCACCGTGTATCCTCCAGTGCATACTATTTGTCTTCTAGGTAAAATACCTGTTTTCTGATAAAACAGGCACCTTAACATGCAATATTATGAACTTTAAGAAGTGCAGCATTGCAGGTGTAACTTATGGGTATGTATGTATCATTTTCTATACACCATAGTATCTTAATGAATCAGTGTAATTAAAGTGACCAACTGTTTTAATTCTCTGTAAGGTATTTTGTTTGTTCATTTGAAAGAAAGGGAGGCCCAGGATATTTTTAATTCCTTGTTGGGGAGGATATGTTATTTAATACGAAATAACTAAAGTGTCAGTGATATGATGGTAGGATATGGTGATTAGATTTGTGGCTCTGACAGAGAGGATCTTATTCCAGGGTTATAGGCCTTGGCTGATCAAGAAATGAGAAACTCTTGCTGGACTTAATGTAGTGTGTGTTTAAGGTGGTGCCTTCCAGGCTTTCAGTTTCCTTAAGCTCCAACTAGAAACATAGAAACAAAGCGAGCTAGATGGGATCTCCCAGGCCATCTAGTCTGACCTGGCTCCAGCTGGCTCTGCTCATGACGTGCCTACCATGTGCATGCCCAGTCTGTCCTTAAACACCCTTCCTGGTGGGGCTTCCAGCACTTCCCATGGAAGCCCATTCCAAACCCTAGGGGTCCTAACCGTCAGGAAGTACTTCCTGGCATCCACCTTGAATCTTGGTTCCCTGAGCTTTGCTCCATTGGAACACGTCCTGCCCTCCACTGCAGGGAAAAAGGGTCACAACCCTCCTCTGTGTGACACCCCCTCACATACCTGTATGTAGCCATCCTGAGAACTTGTATAATAGGACGGCATACAAAAGCTTTAAATAAGCCAGTAAGTAAGTCACCAACAGGTCCCCACTGAGTCCCCTCTTCTCAAGGCTGAAAAGACCCAGTTGCTTCAGTCTCCCCTCATATGACTTACCCTGCAAGCAGTTGCATCCTTGTGACCCTTTGCTGCACCGATTCCAAGCTTGCATGCTAACGATCGGGCATAATGGGAATTAGTGTACAACAATAATTGGAGACTGCTATTTCCGTCTTGGGTTATTTGTTGCTACAATTTCCATAGAATGATAAGATATGCATGTTGAAATAAAGAATTGTTAAAATTAGGAGATACGGGGCTGCTTTCTTTCCACTGAAAAATTAATGAGGTGGTAGTAATGTACAGGATTTCTGCCTCAGTAAAGATGTACATAAATGACAGAGGCACTGAGAAGCTTGTCTATAGACAAGTTGTCAGCCCCACATTTTAACTCCTGCCCTTTAGCTTTAAGGCATTGCAAATAAAACTTCCCAGGTCATACCATCCTGATACAAATCTATGGTGCCCCTCCGCTTAAGACTATTGTGTACAGTTCTGGTTGCTGCACCTGGAATAGGCTACAGTAGAGTTGTCAGAAGTCCTGAAAATGGCAGCTAAGATGCTCAGGAGGTTGTAGTATCTCCTCTACAAGAAAGGGTCACCGTAGCTGTCATTGCTTAGCTTAGAAAAATGTCAAGTAAGGGGAGACATCACAGAGGTGTACAGAATTATGCATGACGTTAAGAAAATACGGTGACATTTTTCTCCTTTCCCATAATACTAGGACCTCATGGTCATCCAATAAAGCTGATGGGTGGGAGATAAAAGGGCAGGCAAAAGGAAGAACTTCTTCATAGCGGGTATAATTCAACTATGAAATTTGCTTCCATGAAGCATAGTGATGGCCAACGTTTTGGGTGGATTTATAAGGGCAGATTCGTGGAGGGGAAGGCTATCAATAGCTACTAGCCCTCATAGCTGTATGCTTCCTCCAGTATCAGAGGCAGTCTGCCTGTGTACACAATTTGTTGGGGAACTTGGGCAGGAGGGCAGCTGCCAGTGTAATTTTCTGCTAGTGGCACAGCTTCAGTTCTATAGAGTGGATGCATTTTCAGCCCTCATTTAACTGCTCTTTTACCTGCACAGCAGGTGCTTTGGAGCATTTCTGGTGTAATCTTTTCCTTCCAATCAGAGCAGACATGCCACCAATTAGGCCTATTTGTTTATTTTTAGTCACTTCCCAGAACTGGCAAGAGAATGTTCGTCAGAAGACTTCAGGTAAGGAAACAATGACATTTGGAGAAATGTTCAGAAGGAATTTGTTTTCCTTGTTGCAAAAATAAACAGTGAGGAGCAAATGTCTCTTGGGAGCTATACGGTGGTTCAGGTGGCAAACATCTGACAGATTTTGCTAAGGTATTGCCACTGGTGGCTTGTAGAGGCAGAATGGGAAAGGGATGAAAGCACGTAAGAAGAGGAAGGTGATGCCCAGGGGAAAGGGATACAAGATGCATTCCCATATGGCATTTCCTTCCCCAGCTTGGCACCCTCCAGATCTTTGGAATACAACTCCCATCTTCCCAGCCACTGCTGTCTAGGGATGATGGGAGTTTTAATCTGACACATCTGGAGGGCACCTGGTTGGCAAGTGCAGTCAGGTTAACTAGGGTTGTTAGAAAAATCTGCCATGGATTCAGAGGAGTGTGGATTTCTATGAATCTGTCCCGTGGATTCTACAGCAGACCAGCTTTTTCTGAGTCATGCAGATTCTGCAGCTTTGCAAACCAGTTCTTCATGTTGGGGGATTAGTGCTAATCTGCATTAGCTGGTGAACACAGGTGCATTTGTGCAAGTGTTTTCTTGGGCTGATGCACCAGGAAGTGTCTGTGCTGGGACAAGTTAGTACAAGTGGAAAGGAATTCTGGTAAGAATGCAGTGACTTCTCATGATTGTGTTCTCAGCTAACGTATCCTTCTTTTTATTATACTCTTAGTCAGCTTCCTCCTTCTACCAGTGAGTCTTGTGAATTTGATGACCCAAGGCTGCTGCAAAACATTGAGAATGATCATGTAAGGCTACTTGCTTCATTCTTTCACTGATGGTTCTTGTCATTGCTTGCTAAGGTCCCTTCTCTTCAGGTGGAAGATAAGCTCTAAAGCCTCTGATGCCCATCTCCTGTGCTGGAGGTATATCCCACTGAAATCTTGGTCATTGTAATATATGGGTTATCATGTTGTCTGAACCCAACTGAGATACCCATGGCGAACAGCCCACAGTTCACAACCCAGCAGCAAAACTTGGGTTCTTTTGATGGGTCGTTCATGGTTAGCAAGCCTTGAGGCAAGCACTGGAGGAAATAGGGTGGGGGATGCTGAGCTGCTTTGCTTGCCTTCTGCGTAGCTCCTTCTCCTGCCACACACCAGTTCCCCAAGACCTGACCAAGGGCTGATCCTTGGCAGGCTTTCCTGGACAGCTGGTTCCGAAACAGTGGTGCCACTATAGAGAAGGCCTCTGCCTTGGGCCCCATGAGACCTTACAACATGCATTACACATTTCTGGCACAGAGATTCTGCAGTTAATCTCAAGGAAATAATCAATCTTAGGAAGAAATAACCAATAACATAATTCTGGGCACTGAATTAGTATATTGTTTCTTTTCACAGAAGCATAGTTACCAGAGCCATCTCAAGGTCCTTTGGCATTTAGACGAGGAACAATTTCTCTCTCAGCCCTATATTGCTACAGCTATTAGCTCCTGAAAAGCATGGAATGAGTTCATGGGCTTCTAACCACTCAAATACTCTCAGAGGCTGCTTTTTCTCCAAAGTTATGGAACTGATTGGTTCTGCTCACTGTTTCATGCACTAGGGAACATAACTGTGATTTTAAATGGTCCACAGCTATAGCCTGGATCGGCCTGTGCAGCACGTTCCTTTCTGGCATTGCGAGCCTAGCCTGGCCACCGCTGTTGCTGCCTGCCTGGGGATCTTCTGATCCTATGGATCCCTTAGTGCCCCATGTAATTGTCTACTTTGCCTCTTCCTAGAAGTGGCCTAGTAGTTGCCAATAAGCCAACGGAAGCCAGGGTCTCAAAAAAGGAGTTTTGGAGCTGTTCTTTGTGTGGCTTGCATGTGCTCTGTATTTACTTAAGGTGATGGGTTAGGGGCCTTCAGATGCTGGTGGGCTGCAGCCGCCATCAGAGTCAGGCAGGATAGCCAGTAGTAAGGGATAATGAAAGGTGTCGTTCTAATAACCTCTGGAAGACCACAGATTCGCCCTGCCTATGTTAGGCAGCTGATGACACTCCGTACATTAAACACTAAGACGCCACACCTGATTCACCATTTTTCTTGCAAGAGTGGGAGCACTGATGTGATGAAGCTCTCGAGTCTCTGTAAAATTGAATGTGAAAACAGAGCTCTGAGTCAGGGTAATTGTTTGTGATTGACAAAAAGGGATCACAGGAATACAAAAGCTCTGTGTGTTCTCACTGTAGCACTCAAACGCAATACCCTGGAAACAACTGGCTGTGATCCAGAAAGTGGCATTCTGCACACGTAAGATGTAGCACGCGTGCATTTGGATTTTATCTCCTTGTTTCTAAAAAAAGCCACCTCCATACCAACTTGCTGTGTATCAGGATTTTCAGAAAAGGCCCGTCTCTGGAAACCATCAACAGGAGAAGCATATTAAGCATATGCAAAGGGCAAGGGCCTTTTCTGTGATGGCACCTCAAATCTGGAAAACCCTCCTTAGGGAAATTCAGCTGGCACTGACATGGCAATTGATTCAGCACCTGGTTGGGATTATTTTATTTGCTCCCAGGCATTTCAGCTGATGACATTACTTCTGCTTATTATCTAACTCACTCCATCATCATCATCATAATCATCATCATCATCATCATTATAATAACATTTCTATGCCGCCCCTTGCCGAAACCTCGGGGCAGCTTACAACACAATAAAATACATTGAAATACAATAGAACATAATAAATTACCATTAAATACAAAAATACAAAAAATACACTGAGTTACAAATATAAAATTAAAATTATCAGTATAAAATAAGTAAATAAAAATATAGGAGGAGAAAAGAGAAGGAAGAAGAAGTTGCCCTGGCCAGATCATATGTTTTAACAATTAAAATGATGTTTAAATAAAAAGGTCTTTACCTGGCGCCGAAAAACCAGTAACGACGGTGCCAGGCGGACCTCTTTGGGGAGTGAATTCCATAGGTTGGGCGCCACCGCAGAGAAAGCCCTCCTCCGAGTTCTTACTCTCCTAATTTCTTTCATGGAGGGTTCCCGGAGAAGGGACTCTCCCGCAGATCTCAAAGGGCGGTCGGGCATATACGGACGTAAGCGCTCGTTCAGGTAGCCAGGACCCAAGCCGTTTAGGGCTTTATAGTCATAATCAACACCTTGAATTGGGCCCGGGCTTCAATGGGAAGCCAGTGATTTCAGTGGGTGCTCTCTGCGGAGGGCTAGCACTGGATCCAGTCGGTTGTTGGCTGCCTTTCCATTTTACTGTTTGCATGATGGCTATTTGTATTATTTTTATAGTTCTGTATTTGTAATGGTGAATGATTTTCATGTTGTATATACCCCCATGCAGTTCATTTACTTAGATTTGGTACTGACGAAAAAGGTTGCAGCATTACAGTATCGTCTTAAATTTCTGAATGTTTTTGGAATTGGAAGTTGAAAAACTACACCCTGCACCCAGACTTGAATTAGAAAACAGGAAATAGGGTGATCTGCTCCATCCACACCCATGTGCCAGGGCATTTACAGATAACTCGGAATTCATGTTCCTGACATTTGGGTTTGGCATGCACCCAGGGAATCTATACAGCCCTGCTGCTGACACAGCATGTCAAAATGAGAACAATGGTGCTAATGGAAGAGCTGACATGAAAAGATGGCTGCCTATTGTTGCTCTAGAATTGGGTGGGTGGATTCCATTGTAAGCTCTGAAAATGGAAAGACAAAAGCAGAGTGAATAATTGATTATCATATGGGGAAACAGTGGAATGTCCTTCAGGTCTAGCTGTGGCAGGGAAAGTAAGATTATTTTCTGTGAGCTGACAAAGGTTGAAAGCAGAGGGTGTGAGAGTAGATGGATAGGTGATAAGCTTGTTCTTTTAGCAATAAAGGCCTGAAGCGACTGGCCCAGAAACAAAGAGGAGTGTTGGCTTTATCTGGAAAGGCTGTTCTTCTATTCTTACCTTGGTGGGTAAGATCCGAAAGTACATCTGGCTGAATTATCTGATATTTGCCAGTAGCTAGAAAGCCATACAAGGCACAAAATTAGAGTAGCAACACAGAATTCCAGCCACCTTTGCTGGCTTTTTAGCACAGGACTGCAGAACCTCAGGCCTGTGGGCCAGATTGGCCAGCTGGGTTCCTCTGATGGCCATACCTTCTTCCTCTGACCCCGCCCTTTCCCCCCAACACTGATTGTGGGACTTTGTGTAGTTTTCCCCCCATTCTAGAAGGATGAAGTGCATCTCCTAAGGCTTCAATACTGGCACTCAGAGCTTTAAGCTAAAACTTTTGGGAATGTTGGATATTTGGCTCCCACCACTGGAATGTGGCCCCTGAGAGCTTCCCCAAGCTGGTTTTGGACCCTTGAGCTGGAAATTGTTCTATACCCTGAGTTAGCAGTAGGATGCTGGAGACTGTCTTCCTTAACCCGGTGCCCTCCATATGTTCTGGAACACAGTTCCCACCATCTCAGACTCACTGAGACTGAAGGGAGTTGTGGCTAACCCATCTCGAAGGTCCCAGATTGTGAGAAGTTGGCTTCAAGCTCCTTCAGGATTACATGCAGACTGATTTCTCATTTGGACTAACTTGGGCCTTGCCTTGCAGCCTACAGCAACTCATATCCAAGAATTCCTCACTCTCCTTGCAGTGTGCCACACTGTTGTTCCAGAAAGAGATGGAAACACAATCATCTACCAGGCCTCTTCTCCAGGTGGGTCACTAACTCCAACTTTTGAGCAGGTGTCCCATAGCCGCGATCACAGCAGCTGGCCACCACTGAAGCAAGCAAAGCCAGGGAGTCCCTGCGGGAGGGAGCAGCCAGTGCAAGAAGCAAGCCAACAGGAGAGGGAGGCAATGAGCAGAAGCAGCAAAGAGGCATCCTTGAGGTGATCAGGAGCTGTCCGCGGCTCTCAGGCCATGCAGTGAAGAACATGGTGCTATGCACTTTTTAGAACTCTGTGCACTTTTCTCTGCACATTTTTCAAATGCATGCATATCGCTGAACACCCCCCTCCCTTTGGCAGGGGAGGGGGAACTTATCACAAAGTAGTGGAAATATTTAGATTTTGGGCTTCAAATTGTGTTTGTGTTTACATCTGGTTCTTGGGAATGCCAGCTTGGTCTTATCCTGGTAAATGGCAAATTCAACACATTCCCCACCCATGCCTACCCTTGTGGTTAGTTTTACCAAAACTCAGTGGTAAATGCTTCTTATGGTTGAGGCTAAGTAAACAGACACCAGAAAAAGACAACGACAATGACAACATGGTGTCAATATGGATTGCAAGGAGGAAAACATAAATATCAATCCTATCATACATTTGGAAGGGGATTAGCAGGCCATCGGGTCCAACCACCTGCTAAATGAAGGACTCAAGTCACCCATCCAGATTTCAACCCAACCTGACCCTGCTTAGCTTCCAAGATTAGACAGGATCTGGCACTTCAGACTATGTATTCATCTTTTTAGCATAGGCCTTGCAGCATAGATCTTTTACGTCCTCCAAATTGTATAATCCCCTCCCCCTCTAGAGGATGCTTGCTTGGTTCCTAGGTTGTTTAGAAGTTTCCTAAGACCTTTTTATTTCTCCAAGTTTTTAGCATGAATTAAACCTTCTGCCTCCCTGTTTATACTGAAATGCTTTTTTCTGGTCTTGATTTTTAGGTGGGAAATTAATTTTAGCCATCTGAACTGTTTTTATTACCAATTGAATGGCCTGTATTCTGTTTTATGCATGCAGTGATTATTTCTGTTGTAAGCTGCTTTGGGGATTTTTTAATAAAGAAAAGTGGGTGATATTTCTTAAAAAATAATAATCCAAAGGGCAAAAAGAATGAGAAAGACCCATACCTTCTGATCATATGTCATTCTGTTAAATGCTCATCCAGACTTGCATCACTGCCGTGAACTGCCCTTTAAAATAATTGTAATAATGCTGCCTTACTGCTATATTTGTGCTGAATCTTTATCAAGAGATTCTCTCTTTCTCTTGGCAGATGAAGGAGCCTTAGTCAAAGGAGCAAAAAAGCTTGGTTACGTGTTCACTGGGAGAACGCCACATTCTGTGATCATTGATGCAGTAAGAGCAGCCACGAAAATAGAGCTTGGTGCCTCACAGAGACCTCTGCCATTGGTGTAACTTAGAAATGCTGAGGATAATAAGTAAACAAGTTAGCTCCTGGCACCTCTGGGGAGGTCTGCGTGGTATGCTGGTAAAAGCACCTGTCAAGAAAAGCCTAACTCCACTGTTGGACTTGCACTGGTGCCTGGGGAACAAACCCCACGAGGGGTTGCAGCTCAGTAGCAGAACATGCTTACTGTGCAAAAGGCCCCTGCCTGCATTTCGAGGCATGACTGGCAAAGACTCAGGAGAAGCCTCCCCCAGTCTGGTGCTCTTCAGAAGCATTGCACTGTATCTCTCCAGTCCCCAGACAGCTTGTTGTGGGATTGTGGGAATTGTAGTCTGATATATCTGGAGGGCACCAGGTTAGTGAAAGCTGCTCCTGCGAGATGCAACCAGTCAGTCCAGACCAGGGGGAACCACTCGTGGTGCCAGGAAGCAATCAGGGCTGCATGCATGCACGTATGCTCACTCACACGCACATGTGCACACATGCTTAACACATCTGTTAGTAGTGGAGAAACCACAACCCTGGGTGCATTGGCACTGATTTATCAGGAATGTGGAGGTGACTCACCCCATGCAACTCCTTCCTGCACTCCGCAAGGCTCCTGATGGCAGTTAGAAGTACAGTGGAGCTGGGGGAAATGCTGTGCAGGAAGAGACATCCCCATGCGCCCACTTTCCACGTGCAATCTTGCTGCTTTGGCACCAGAGGGCACCATGAATCCCTGCTGAGGATACAATGGTGGCCTCTGAAGTCTGCATTGGAACTGTAGGCTTAGAGCTACCCACTCATGGATAGTTTAGCTGGATAGTCCAATAGTCTGATTCCCTAGAATGCAGTTTGCTCAGTGCAGACTAACTCAGAGCATGGAAGATGTCCAAGAGGTGCAAATGGGTAAGAAAATTGGGGAGGAACTAAGCATGGGTTGGGGGGTCAGGATGGGGAGGAGACCCACAGTGAGGAATAGGGAATTTCTTCAGCATTGAGTAAACAGGCTTGGCATCTATGAACGAGTAGAGAGAATTATATTTTGTGTAATTACAAGCCACTGACTTAGTCAATAATGTGTTGGCTTTAGCAGCTCAGTTCTTGAGGGGCATCTGGTTATGGGAAATGGGCACTTTGCCCAGCAGAACAGCCTTTGTTGTTTCAGGGAATGCCCTGTGAAGGTTTTCAAGGGGATTCTTACAAGTTTGTATTTCTGCCGTGCTCAGCAGATTGCACTATTATGAAGGCACAGTGAGTGCTTTACCATATTCTTGGAGGTTTTCATGAATACATTTTTCCCAGCAGAGGGAGCCATACACATATATTTGAATATGGAGTTTTTTTAAATCGTTCACAATTTTCTAATGTGAATCTACTTTTCCTGTACTGAAGTTTACCTCTTTCTCACATATTTGCAGCTAGGAAAAGAAGAGACGTTTGAGATCCTTAATGTGCTGGAGTTTTCAAGGTAATTGGACTTTTTAGAGTTATTTTAGTCCCTAGGAAAATAAAGAAGGGGAAAGTCTAGAAATACTCTAAAGTCTACCACTGTGGTATCTATGCTAAGTTTTTATCTTAAAAAGAAATATACTAATCATTTCCCAAAGATTCTTGAACATCAATCAATTCCAACCCTCTCCCAGCCAAAGAAGAGGGTAGTTACAAAATGCTTTCTTGGCAGGGTCCTGTGAGGGAAAAAGTTCATTAATTTCAGAATAATGTCATTCTATTCATTCAGTTTGTTCATACAGCAAAGAAGATTAGGAAAAGCTGTTTCCACTGATGCTGTTTGGTATTTCTCAAAGGATCTGGCACAAATTTGTGGTGAAATTTCTTCCAGCAATTAACAGTTGCTAGGCAATTAATTGCAGATTGGTGTTGATTTTTCTTTTTATGGACACTTCCGTAGCACTGTCACTATGATTTATGATTAAGCAGGAAGATGTTCTATGTACTCTGCACTCTGAAAGACCACAGATTAGAGAGGAATAGCCATTGAAGCTGGGGGACCACACATCCAAGCTGGCATTATCATCAGGTTGTGAGTCATATATGTGTCCTTGCCCATATGCAATGGTTCAATTCAGTATGTGCACACGTACATTTTCCTATTGAATGAAAAGTACTTTGTGTGATCAGGAACCCTGTCCTGCAGGAAATGTCTTCTTGACCATTTGTTTTCGCCTTTGGTTTAAAAGTGTGGTCTTGTAGGTAATTTCTACAAACCACCGGGGCTTTATATTTCATCTTTATGTATTTCTTTCATTTCTATACTGCCCCACAGCCAAAGCTTTGCTCTGAGCAGTTTACACAGTCCATAAAGACAAATAATAAAAGTAGAATGAAATATCATAAAATAAAAATATGTTAAAATGCTTAAAACAGATGAGAAAACTGGCAATAATAAGGAATAACAAAAGATGTTATTTGGACATATACATCATGAGAACTTCACATGCATCATTTAAATATGTGGTTACTGTGTGATCACAGAAGTTATAGAAACCAAGATATGTGTGCTGTAAACTCACATGACATTATCTCTCTTCCCCACCCACACACACATATATAACCAGACTAACTCTCTGTCTCTGTCTCTCTCTCACACACACAGTCAGTCAGTCAGTCAGTCAGTCAGTCAGTCTGGCTCACACACAGCCTCATTTGATCTTCTGTCTGCTCTAACTTCTCTGTTCACATGTTCTGCTAGCCAGAATTCTTCTCATTCACAAAATTGCGGATACTTGCATAGCTATATAGATGGAAAAATGATAAAGGTAGAAGCAAGAAGCTAAATACTCTCCTCTCTTCTTTTCCCCTCTTCACATTCATGTGTCCACATGTGTGTTTGCCATAACAGGCAAGCAAAAGTACTTGCTGGAATGGTCATGAAGGAATATTATGTAAGGATGAAACTCGGTTAACCTTCTACAGCAAACAGAACAGCTTTGTGGCACCTTAAGGACTAGCATTTTTATATTGACACAAGCTTCCGTGGAAACTGTCCATGGTCCTGTATCTGATCAAGTGGACCATGTCCACAAAAACTTATGCCAGAATAAATGTATTGGTCTTTAATGTACCACACAACTTTTTGTGGCTAATGAATATTAGCAATTCCATATTGGAAACGGGTGTTTCTGAGTCAACAAGTCAACATCTCTGTGAATTGGTCTACCATCTCTTCCTCAATTGCTTCACCAGGGTGACTGGGAGAACTGAAAACTGGGGGACGGGGGTGCAGAGGCAGAGTAACGGGTTGTGTTTAGGTCTCCCTTGTAAAGAAATCTGCCAGTCAGTAGTCCTCAGTGTATTTTGCTTGCTTGGCAAGTGTTGTATCATTTTTGCTATAGTGACAACCTGAAGTGTGGAGAAGCATTGTGGGGAGGGAATCTATTTAACTGTGGACACTGAAGGGAATTCTTACATGCCACTGATAAGCAGGTATTACAAGCCTAATTGCGGGATCCCATATCTCTCCCCTGGAAAAGATTACCCAATGCCTCATTCCCCTTGGTGCGCCATAGCACTGCTTCCCTTTGCTTTAGTGTCTTTGTGACCATGGCAGTCGTGATTCCAGTCCTCACCCACATCTCAGGCCAGTTTGCACAAACTGCAACCAACACCCGATAATGTCTCAATGAATCAAGGAGCCAAGCCTGCCAGTCTCAACAGGCTTGGAAACAAGCAAGCAGGAGTGCATGTAATCCATGAGCAGCACAACAGCTCTCTAACATCTCCCCCATTTGGCAGGCATTTTTCTAAAGAGCAACACCAAAAAAAAGAAAAAGAAAGAAAGAAAGAAAGAAAGAAAGAGAGAGAGAGAGAGAGAGAGAGATGAGGATCTTTTCTTTTCTTTCCAGTAACAGAAAGAGAATGTCTGTAATTGTTCGGACTCCAGCAGGGCGATTGCGTTTGTACTGCAAAGGAGCGGTATGTGTTCCACTCGAGGTAACAAGGAGATATTGTGACATGTTTTGTTGTAGCTCTGAGATGTTGGGTTTCATAGATATCCATACCGATGAATAATACACTATTGTCATTAAATATTGTATACTTTTTATCTGAATCATTATTTTTATCTAAATTAATTTTGTGACATGATCAATAAATCAGTGTGCCTTGGGTGCAATCCTGTGCAGCTTTGGGTAGGGCGAGTACCTGGGCAACACTCGTGGTTATAGAACCTTTTCTTTCTAAACATGCAGATAGTTGCACATTAGTAAGGCAGGATGAATGCTAGTAGGCAAACCCTCCAGAGACTTTGGTTTACAACTCCTATCAGCTCCAGAAAGAAGGGCCAACTATAGGAATTGTAGTCTAAAACTTCTTGAGGCATCAGGTTGCCTTCACTTGGTTTAAATAATGCCAATTGTCTATTTTTTCCCTCCAACAGCTTAGTAGTTAGGGTTGAGGGTTGATTTCTGAGCTTGCCTCCACAGTTTATCATTGAATCCAAGAATTTGTTTGTTTCCTTATGGATTAAAAAGTGTTTCCCCTGTTTCAGCTTTCTGAAATGGCCAGGACATATATACATCTTAAATAGACATTATAAAATTGTCTCTGTTCATGCTCCTTCTGTTTATATTTTCTTGTTGACAGGATAATGTCATTTTTGAGAGACTGTCCAAAGATTCCCTGTATATGGAGCAAACACTATGCCATCTTGAATATTTTGCCACTGAAGGTAAGCATTCAATTTTTGTAGCCCAGGCAGCAGAATGCAATTTAAGCATGCAATTAAGATATTTGTCTGGATGTATATATAATAATAATATGGGATATAATTCAGAATAGGGGATTCTTCCCATCCTACCTGAAAGTGACATGATAGTGGCATTCTTGTTTCTGGCACTATACTGTCATTCTGTTGGAGCTTCCATCCTGCAGTCCAGGAGCACTGCAAAACTGGGATGCCCAGACACAAATGCAGTTGTGCATCTCATACCATTTCCAGCTCCCTTAAAAGTATAATCTGTCTCCAGCTATAGGAGAGGTTCTTATGAGGATTCATAGAGTCTCAGTCTTACTATCTAAGCCAACATTGTAACAGACATCTGCAAAAGTGGAGCTAGGTTTGGAAAGCAATATTATTTAAAGAAATGTGAAAGAAAGGATTGTTGGAAGTGGAGCCAGTGTGACCTTAGTTGAGCTTTGTAGCTGTCGACTGTTGTTAGTGCTCTTTTCCAATGCAACTTTGTATAGTGGGAAGGCAGAAATGGACCATGAGTATGGGGTGGCTGGAGAACAGAACAAAGAGGACAGAAGGGAAGGTAAAATGTATGGTAACCATACTGCAAGTGTTCTGGAAAAAAAAAATAAAAGAGAAAAGAATTTGTATCATACAGCTCACACTTCCATTTCCTTAAGATCCGTCCCTAGAGTTACTTGCAGTAAGTTTGAAATCAAATATACCCATCTCTTATTTCACTGCTAAGGCGGACATTACTAATGTTGAACACCCTTCTGAGACGCTGTTCTCTTTATGGCCCCAGATTGCAGGAAGAACCTTATTTCTCTCCATGCTTGGTAGTCTCCCCTCCCATGCACACACACCTTTCTTCTTGGAACTGTCCCATCCTCTGTTACATAGCCATTCTGTTTTATATGGTACACTTTCTCCTTTTTCTGGTCGCCTTGAGCCAGAAGAGAAATCGTCACTTTTATATATGCTGAATTCTATCAGTGGCCCAGTAAAATCATGTTATTCATTTTCCACAGGGGCTTGTTCCTTAAATTATTCTGCATGGTTAACCTGTGTTGACATCAGTGAGAATTGCACGTCTCCATTCAATGGAAATACTGAACATTACACTATTTGCAGTTCAGCAGTAATGTGAAGCTATATACCTACCTCATGTCATGGTTCCGTGACTTATGATTTCATTTGAAATTATGTTCTAGTAAAGTAGAAGCAGTTTATGCCTAAAACTGAAAGCCACATGAAGGTGTTAGAATGGTGATTGTAATATTGTGTTCAGTTTTTCAGTTGAGGAGATACAGAACTGTTCTGAAACTGCTGGAATGTCTAAGACCCATAATTATGCTATCAAACCGTGTCCTTTTAAAAACCGCAACAACATGATTCATAGGGGTTTGTTCTCATGAAGCAGCCTTGCATGTCATGCTGACCCACCCTAGCAATAAGCCACAGTGGGTGGGGTTTTGCACAGTGCGCCTGACAGAGAAGTGGGCTCCCTGTGGGTTGCCAGCACCCCCTTTCCTGTTGTTCCACCAGCCAGCATCCCAGAGGACTTTGCAGCTTAAGTTGTTCTCCCAACCGAGAGAAATTTTGGCTCACTGCAGCTTTCTTCCCACTTTACACCCCCTTTCCCCCCTAAAGATCATGATCTCCATTTTGACAGCTACCAGCAGCTGCTCTGAAGTGCCCTCGCAGCTCAGTGGAGGGGCGGTCATTGCTTTATCATCAGATCAGGACTTAATTAGACCAAAACCCCAGTGGGACCTAAAGTTATCCATGAGTAATACGTTATGACTTAGTCTGAATCAAACCCCATATAAGGAGGGATAGCGACTCATGCACCTGAAGAGGTGGGCTGGAGCTCACAAAAATGGGTGCCAATGCACATTCTTTAGTCTTTAAGGTGCCATTAGATTCTTCCATGCTTCTGCTGCAGCAGACTTAACATGGCACCCCTCCCCTCTGGAAATTATTTACCTATTCCTAGTGGTGCTCACATTTTCTTCAAATCCCAAAGCAGGTTTTTGCATTGCAGAAGGTACATGTCCCTAGAGCAGCATGAAAGAGAGAGAGAGAGAATTCCGTCTCGCATCCTCATCATTCCTGTCACCTAACACAAGAAAATAAGAGGTGTTCGGCCTCCTACTTTATCTCTCCTGGGAGTAGGTGGGGCAGTTGCAGAAGCTGCTTCCTTGCTTTTCAAAGATGTGCATCTGTGCACAGATGAGAATCATCCAAGAGTCAGTGCAGAACAAATGTTGCCCCTCCTACCTAATTGCACTTTGTCACCCCTCTCATATTTTGAGAAACACTGATCCAAGGAAACTGGTATGAACTAAGCCAAGAGGGGCTATTGTTGAATAGGTGGTGGGATTTCTGCTCTCCAATGCCTCATTTTGGGTATTTATTTGTTAAATTTCTACCCTGCCCATTAGCCAGGATGGTTCACTGGGAAGCTTACAGAAACATAAAAGCAACAACATATGGAATAACACAGTAATATGAAATCTGACATATATACTCACAACAGTGACAACAAGAGGCACAGTAAAACCCCCAAAGGCATTGAAATCAATAGGCTTGACATTTGTTTAACTGATGGCTCCTTTCACTTTCACTTTCTCCATCACACATACACTTTGTAATATCATTTAGAAGCTGTCTTTCAAACCCTGCCTAGTTGATGATGCAGTTTTGGCACAACAGAAGTATCTATTCCTAGCAGTTCATTGTTTCATAAATGTTTCTCCATCAAGATCAAAGAGAATTCCACTTGATGACTTATCCTATCTCAGTAGGCACTTGTGCCAGAAGGAAAACAACGCTACTCCTCATTCTCTCAATAGCCTAGGAAAATCATATTATTTATACAGCACTAACTGCATTTCTTTTCTTAGGACTGAGGACTCTGTGCATAGCCTATGCGGACCTGTCAGAGAATTCTTACCGAGATTGGCTGAACATATATAATGAAGCCAGCACAAATCTGAAAGACCGAACTCAAAAGCTGGAGGAGTGCTATGAGATCATTGAGAAGGTAACTATAAATAAGAGTTGATCTAAGGGGTGCTTACAGCCAAATCCTTTCCCACTTGTAGCGACTGATCTTAGCCTAAAGCAAGACTTTATGCAGAATGGGATGTATAGTATGTTGTTCCCGTCTAAACGTTACAAAGAAAAAGAGCAGCATATCCGCGTAACATTGGACTCCATCAGGTGTTCGGAGATGGAAGGGAGATGGTGAGCTGAGCGCTAGCACTTCCACACCCAGCTTCCCCATGTTCACAGGGGTTTGAGTGGAGTCTGTAATGGCATAATGCAGCTGCAGGCTTCTGAATGACTGAAGACCCTGATGGATCAGGGCTCCTCTTCCTGTGGAGGTTGTGAGTATGTTCAGCTGCTCAAACCTTCCCCATCAACAGGGAGGCTGGGGCTGCAGAGGCTGGAGCATTCATCACCATCCACTTTTCTAAACTCCTGCAGATGGTGGTGGTGTTCCCCTTGAGCTCATTGCTAGGTACTCCAGTTGATTTGTGTTCTGTCCATTGGAACCCTTGTCCTGGTACAGGAAAACAGTGCCAAACTACCAGGTCAAGACTAATAGGGAAATAAAACCACAGCCATTACAGCAGCTGCTAAGAACAGAGGCCAAAATGCATCTTTCCTGCTTATCTGGGGGCATTCAGCCACTGAATTCCAAAGTTTGAAAATACCTGACCTTCCTGTGTGTAGCTGGTCAAGTAGTGGTGGCTACATGTGCAGCAAGAGAGAATGTGATTTCTGGTTGTGACGCATCAGCTATCGTGGTGGTTTGAATGAGGCAAGCAGTGCAAAACTGAACAGCCTTATTTGCTGCTATGAAGAAGTAACAATAGCTCTTTGCTGGCCCAAAGCTGTGGCATATTAGGAACTCTAGGCCACTTTGTGTTTTATAAGAAATGGAGATGGTATTAATTAGAGGTAGGGAACATGCTTCTCTTGCAGGGAGGCCCAGCTTCTTTATTTGCAGGTGGGAATTCGACCAGGAATCTTGGAGGACTGCTTCAAGCTAGAAAGCATGGACTAGGTTGGGGTGGAGAACCTGTGGCTTGCCAGATGTTGAAAGGCTGTAAATCCCATCAATTCTACCCAGCATGGCCGTAGTGAGAGTGGATGGGAAGACCAAGTGTTCTGGGAGGCGAAGTGTTGTCCACTTCTGGACTAGATGGACCACATGCCTGACTCAGGCTAAAGCAGACCTAATACAGAATTATAAAATGGGCTAAAGGAATAGGCCATAACTGCCTTCCACCTTTGTGTGTTGTGCCTAAATGCCCTGTGATGTAGAAAGCGATGCAGGGAACTTTTTGTATCCAGCTTGCAGCTTAGCACCAAACTCTTGTTCTGCTGGCTCAGCCACTAACAATAGTCAAATGTTTATTTGTTTGAATAAATATTTGCTATCTTGCAATGGACAGCAGGAAAGGAAGCAGGGAAATTTATGAGGGTTATCTAGCTACTGTCTCCTTAAGGTACACAAATGATAAATAAAAATATTTCTTGCTATGATCTTTTCCACTCTGTAGTTAAAGCAGCTAACTCTGTCCTGAGCTGTATGTAATGCCAGCACTAGAACCTGGCATGAGTTGGAAATGGGTCCTCACTGCCAGGTAAAGTGTGTGAGGATGTAGCCTAACCTGAATTGCTAGAAAATGTAAACATTAAAACTAACAGGTTGGACACATTTAAATAATTAAAATATTAAAATTGTTGTACTAGATGCTTGCAGAACATCTGCCTTACCCAAGATATGAAGAAGACAGAAAGGCAGGAAGCATTATACTTTTTATTTAAAAGTTATTTTAACTGTTAATTTATTATTATTGTATTTATAGATTTTAATATATAGCCGAGATGGTGCCAGTTTTAAATTATTGATTGTATTTTTATGTTTGTTGTGAGCCACTCCGAGGCTTTGTTGCGATGGGGGCGGCATAGAAATGTTTTAAATAAATAAATAAATAAACCAAGTCAGGCAATTTCTTTGCCTAGCCCACAGTGGTCCGTGCTGGCTGGCAGGATCTCAGGCAGGGGAATCTTTCACATCACAGACTGCATCTGTGTAAACTGTAGATGCCATACCCTAGATATTTATTAGATTTATATGCTGCTTTTCACCACATTTCAAAGTGCTCAACATTTACTATTGTACCCATAAAGCAACAATAATACACAATCTAACAGCTTTCTGGGTCACATGTTAACAAAAGCCTTTGCAAAGACGTGGGAGATCTTCTGAGGAGATATTTAAAGAAAGTGGGAAGAAGGTAGATCTTCAGATTTGTGTACTTCAACTCCCAGAAGCTCTGGCCAGAACTGGCAAGTCAGGAATGCTGGGAGTTGAAGTCCAAAACATCTGGAAATCTACTTTAGGTCCATCCCAGTCTAAATGTCAGAATGATGGGAGCCTGTCTAATTTCAATTAGCAATGCATTCCAAAGCGTGGGTGTTGTGACACTAAACACTCTACTGGAAGTGCCTCTGAGACAAACTGCACCCTCAGCTGTGCTTTTCCCATGATCACAAAGGTTGCTTAGGGACATAAGGGGTGAGGCAATCCCTAAGATAATCTGGCCTCAAGTCATTTAGGTCCTTTTTCCCCTCACCCTGAGACCTTCTACACCTGGAGAGTGTCTTCTCCTGATTGGCGAGCCCTGGTTACCTGGGAACCTAGTGAATGTGAATCACAGCTAGCATTTTATAACCCTCTCTTTTCACTAAGTGATCCTCATTAAACCAAGTAGCATTGAAACTCAGAGCCAAATATGGCTAGGCTGGGAAATTCATGTACCCCACCCTTGCTTCTGCCAAATATGGTTGTTGTTAGCATTCCATCTGCCCCAACCCTTATTGAAACAGTGGGATTTCAAGGTTGCCATTTGGTAGCTGCTTTTTATGATATTTGGGGTGGTTGGTAAGTGCATGTACAGCCTCAGCAGGGTAATGTTATAGCAAGAGACGTGCGGAAGGGAGCTAACCTTTCAGCAGTATTGGTGCCCACTGGGACAGATCAGCAAAGTTCTATAAATCTCTTCCTTGAAATGAGACTAAAACTCCATTGGAATTGAAAAGGGTTTCCCTCAGTTTGGACTGTGCTCTTTATTTTTTTCTGTTGCCTCTTCTTTTAAAGTGGCTACTTCTAATTGGCACCAGGAGCATGTGTTTGCACCTTTAATATCAGACTGTCAGGAATAAATACATAAACTGTAGCCAGAGTGCCACATTGTCAATCATACTCATGTTGAGATAGGAAGAATATTCCACAACTATCCACATTCCCAGGAATTGCTGGCAATGAATTTGGGAGCTGTAGGAATTTTCTGCCTAAATCTGCATTAGTTTGTAGATATAAGGCACAATCCTATGCATGGTTAAATTTAAAAAAAGCCTTCAGCTCCCAATATTCCTTAGCCAGTCATGCTGACAGGGGGATGCTGGGAGCTATGGGACTTTTGGTGTCTGAACATATGTAGGATTGCACCCAAGAATATTTACACTGACGCAAGTAAACTGAGCAGAGTTCAACATGATTTATTCCTGGGTGGACATGGTTAATATTGCACACTATTTCGCAAAAGGTTTGGGTTTGGTTGGGTTTGGTTCATAGCGAGATCCCGTGTGGAGCAGTGGTTAAGAGTGCGGGACTGGGGCTCAGGCAACCTGGGTTCTAGTCCCCACTCAGTCAACCGGCTGACTTTTTGCCCATTACAGACTCTCAGTCCAACCTACCTCATAGGGTTGTTGTAGTGGAGATAAGATCACCAGGAGAATTATGTAAGCCACTTTGAGTTATTTGTTTTAAAAAAGTGAGAAATAAAGCTAATAAATAAATTTGTTATTTTAGAGAAGACATTGGTCAGGAGAATATGCAAAGTTGGGTAGACTGACGAATGGGAATTGGTTTTGTCCTCCAGTTGAAGAACACTATCAGGTCAATTAATTGCTTTCTTTTTGAATGATGGCGTCCATTTTCTATGTATATTTAGAGTGTAGAAAGTGTATATAATGGTGTGGGACAGCATGATCTTTTGTGAACTTAAAAGAAAAATCTTCTGCATGTTTAGACAGAAAGAAAGTCCTACAACTCACACCGTGCCACAGTCAGCACGGCTGTTTGGGGCAGGCTGGGACTCAGAGGCCTTCTTTTTTCACTCTAAACGTGCAGAGGATTGCACCCGAAAACTCTTAAGAAAGTTACTCTGGCAGCGGGTGCCCATACATCTACATTACTTCCCCACTGGCTATCTTTTAAAGCAGCAATGAAAATTAATTGCTTTTGAATAGCTGCCTCCCATCTGATCAAAGCATTTGGTTGCCTCTGTATTTAGAAATGTCCAATTTTCATGCTAGACCAGCTAAAATTTAACTGCACTCTGAATCTCTTGTCAGAAGGTAGTAGAAAAGATAAAGCACAGCTTGCTGTCATTAACTGTGTTTTTGAGCATGGTCCAAGCTGACATCAGTCTAAAGCGGTGGCAGAGAACCTCTTTTCTCTCGCGGGCTGGATTCAGTTCCAAAAAACTTACAGAGGCCTCATCCCTGAGGTGAGTGGAGCTGAAGGCAAAAAGGACATAGTCCAGAATACCAGCATATTGAAATTTAAAGCTCATAGTTACCAGACAATAGTTAAGTACCAATAAATGAAGTGTTAGCAGAGTCATTTTGTCTTTTAGAACAGGGGAAAAACTGTGTGGAAGCTGGGAAAACCACAAACTATTAAAGATCAGATTAAAGGAGTGGGGAAAGGGGACATGGCCTTGTGTGGACCCCAGAAGAGCGTGCTTAGATCCCCAGGACTGATGTTTCCCACCCCTAATCTAAAGAGAACAAGACCTCTCAATTCTTTCACTTTTTTCCCCCTTCCTGCCACTTCTAGGAATTACTGCTTCTTGGTGCTACAGCCATTGAAGACCGCCTTCAAGCAGGTGTCCCAGAAACAATATCTACCTTAATGAAAGCAGAAATCAAGATTTGGGTACTAACAGGGGACAAGCAAGAGACAGCTCTCAACATAGGTAACCACCCTTCAATTTTTCCAGTAAGGCAGCAGTGCACAGGAAGCAGATCTGGATTCATTGCAGCGAAAAGGTGGCATTTCCCACCCTCAAATTATACTGCTAAAATGGAGAGAGATGTGGTGTCTCTAGAGCATTCAAACCATTGTCTTGCAGTGACCAGGGTAGGTTTCTCCTTAGTTATTCTTCAGAAGCTGCCCTTACATTGAATCCACGTGGCCTTTATTCCTAATGGTCAAAGATACTGACCATTGGTCGATCATGGTCGATCATGATGAAGAATAGTCAAGTTAGTATATTTACTACCAAAGCCTATGTTTGCATTCAAGAGAACAGTAGCCCAATTATAAGACTTCTGCTTAGTCCTTCACATTTGGCCTACATACGTACATCTCTCCGTATGCAGGTCCTTGCACAAACAGCAGTTCTTACCAAGAGTAGTATGCTTCTTTCAGGTTTTAATTGCTATTACCCCTTTCAAGCACACATGCCCACAAAGGCCTCTAACTCTTGGTGAAGATAGTGACTGGCTTGACCATTAGCCAGTTTAATTTAGTGTAGGCTTTAAATGCGCTGGTACGCTGTACCTTCAGATGTATGAAACTCAGCGGTGTTCTGGGCAACCAGTAATTCTTTTACATTTAAAATGAACATTTCCTATTTGGGGAGAACATTTCAAGACAACTTCAATAAATCATATGGACTTTCCTTGCTCAAAACAGTGTAGATGTCTTTTCAGAGGCGGGACAGAAGAGCACAGACATTCTGCCCTCTTTTTAATGACATGAAGGCAGATATTTACTGGACAATACTATACAGAAGTTCTGCCAGGAAGGTGTGGTGAGGAGAGAGATGCTGTCACTGCAAAGACATTCAGACTTGACCCTGGGAATGATGATAAGTCTTCACAAAACATGGTTTGTGTATAGCCTTTTGGCTGATGTGAGTTGCAGGTGCGAACTCTGGGAGGGCATCCTTCAGTAATCTCAAATACTCTCCACCTGAAAGTATGGTGGCATTTGCCTGCCTCCCCTGTACCAAAAAAATTATTTATTTATGTATTTATTTATTTGGACAACTTGTATGCCCCCCCATTCGCATAAGCCTCGGGGCGGCTTCCAATACATAAATATATTTCTATACAAAATACATAAAATACTGGAGACATCCTGGCAACAGATTTAAAATCAGTAAATAAGATCAAAAGTTAAAATAACGTTTAAATAAAAGGGTCTTGGCCTGGCGCCAAAAAACAAATAACGACGGTGCCAGGCGGACCTCTCTGGGGAGTGCATTCCATAGATTGGGCGCCACCACACAGAAAGCCCTCTTCCGGGTACCCACCCTCCTAATATCTTTCACAAGAGCTCCTGGAGAAGGGCCTCTGCCGCCGATCTCAAGGGGCGGAAGGGCACATATGGATGCAGGCGCTCCTTTAGGTAACCAGGTCCCAAGCCGTTAAGGGCTTTGTAGGTGATAACCAGCACCTTGAATTGGGCCTGGACTTCGATGGGAAGCCAGTGAAGCTGATGGAGGACTGGAGTCATGTGAGCACAACATCCAGTCCCTGTCAGCAACCTGGCAGCTCTGAAGTATCCAGACCATCTTCAAGGGCAGCCCCACGTAGAGCGTGTTACAGAAGTCTAATCGGGAAGCAACCAATGCGTGTGTCACTGTTGCCAGGCGATTGTTCTCCAAGTAGGGACGCATCTGATGGATAAGCTGAAGCTGGAAGAAAGCGCTCCTCGCCACCACTGTTACTTGAGCTTCCAAAGATAGCTCTGGGTCGAAGAGCACTCCCAAGCTGCAGACCCTGTCCTTAAGAGGGAGTGCTACCCCATTCAGGACAAGGCCCAAGTCCCCCATCCCGAGGCCCAAGCCACCCACCAACAGGACCTCCGTCTTGTCTGGATTGAGCTTCAGTTTATTGGCCCTCATCCAGCCCATTATCTTGGCCAGGCACTGGTTCAGCACAGCCACTGCCTCACCTGGATTGGTGGAAAAAGAGAGGTAGAGCTGGGTATCATCAGCGTACTGATGATTCCGCAGCCCACACCTCCTGATGACCTCTCCCAGTGGTTTCAAGTAGATGTTAAATAGCAAAGGGGACAAAATGGACCCCTGTGGAACTCCATGGCATAAGTGCCATGGCGCAGAGCCATAGTCCCCCAGCACCACCTTCTGGAATCGGCCATCAAGATAATAAGATAAATAAAGCAGATTTATATGATAAATAAAATGATTTTCTCAGTGCCACTTTTGTGAAGTAGGAATGATTCAGTGAAGGGAAAGATTGTTTCCCAGTTCTAGTAAATTCCTTACTACACGTCAGAAAAAAAGAACCTAACTCATCCCTGAAGTGCTAACTTTCCAAATGCAGAAGATTTCAGATGTGATGCTTTCAAGCAAATAGTGTGCATGTTGAGGTAGAATAGGCCCTTAAGTAAATCATATCATGTTTTTATATATACTCCTTTTTGCTTTTAACTTACTTTTTTATTTACTTTTGAAAGAAAAGATTAGGGAAAAAGAAAATCATATCATATGCTTTACTGAATTTTTGAATTGGCTTCCGATCGGTTCCTCTTCCAAAATGCATCCCTGGTAGTCCTGAGGCCCTGTCAGGGCAGAAAGTGGTGGCTACCAAGTGGAAGTTGGCAGGGAGATGGTTCTCCAGTCTGACAATGGGTCCTTTTCTTTGAAGACAAGTTTCTCAGAGAAGTTGTTCAGAACTGGCCCTTTTCAAAAAATGCCTACTGCCCTGTCAAGCCCCCATTTTAGAAGGGACTCAGAAAAAGGGGCATGTTGCACTTTTGCATATTCCCAAGCAGCTAGAGTCTTGGGGAAAGATGCAATGTACTGGACACTGAGGACAGTCAGGGTAAAAAAAGAAAAAGTTCAGGATTTCACAGCAAACATGGTGTAAATCTCAACATTCCCTTTATGTGAGCAAAGTTCCCTTGTGCCTTGGCTTTCCCTTGACAGCTGGCCTTTTGACAGCTGTCCAGACAAAGCAAAGTAAAGAAAATTTCCAGGGTCAATTTCCAGGACTGCTGCCTGCTGCAGTTTAACAGCTGGTACCTTCCAGGACATTGCCCAGCTGAGACTTCCCATGAAGTTTGTACAGAACTGTGTATCTATGCAGTTGTGTAAATTTGGGCTAATTTTTAAATGAGCCTTATGGCTGATGGGGCAGGAGAAAAATCTAATAATTAAATAATGACTGTTTTGTGCACATTGTGGGTGCAATCATAATAAAAATAATAATCGTTTGCCAACCACCAGCTTCCTGCCCAATCTGCCACTCGGACACTGAGAAGGGACTATCAGTGGCTGTCAAAATGGAGCTAATGAAAACTAGCTGTTAAGCTATGGATCATGATCTCTCTGGAAAAAAGTTCAAGAGGGGTGGAGAAAGCCACAGCATATGAGAAAGAACTCACAGTATAAGCAGGGAGAGAGCAGCCAAGTTGTTCCTGCTGTGGGATCCCCATGTGAGGACCATGAGGGTAGGGGAGGAAGAGAGAAGCAATCAATCCATGGATTGTCTGTTGGACATACTGTGGGTTGTTTGGCCAACAACCAGACCACTGTGGCTTATTGCCAGGGTGGGTTAGTGTAACGTGTGACTGTATCAACCACTTCAAGGAATATGAGTCCCTCTGAAGTGAGCTTTCAACACTTACATGAGTTCATATATTGTCAGAACATGTTCGTACTGCTAAATCTTCTTGCCTGATTATAGAATCTGAGTTCTCACTTTATATGGACTATGGAGGAATCCAGTAGAACTTGTATTTGTTCCAGACACCCTTCTCTGGCTCCAGTTGTCAAATGGCATCTTGCTTGATTTAAAATAAAACAGCAACCAGCAGCTTAGAAATTGCGGTTCAGTGTTGCAGCTGTTGTTCTAATCAAAAGCTACCAGAAAATCCTTTTGATTTGGTTAGAGCAAATTTGTAACTGTTTAGAGCTGTACTCATTGCCGGGGAGAAGGGTATACCTGACAGATGACGTTACACGATCCCTCATTTATTTCTCAGTGAAATGTTAAAATAAAACGTACCTCTGCATGCTAGACCTTTATTTATAAAATCCAAATGTTTAAAAATGTACTTTGTCTTCTTTAATCATTTAAGAAACTATCCTGTGTTTTTCTCTGCAGTTTGTTTTTATTCCTTGTAAGTTTGAATGATCCATGTTAATTCTCCTTTCCACCAAAAAATTTACTCAAAAGATTTATAAAAACTGCCCAATGATTAAATTTAAATTACTTTTTAATATATAGTGGAGTATTTAATAGAGAACAGGTACAGGTTTTATAGGAAACTTTGCTTTATATAAAATATTTCTGAACATCCCTAATTTGAGTACTGAGTGATGCCAGAAAGTCTGGCTTCCTTTATTTGAGAAGGGTTCATTCAGTATGTTAAAACATGGTGGCTTATAAGCCATGGAGCTTCAGTGTGCTGTTTGAAGCCAGCACTCTTTCTGCAGGGTGGTTTATAAGCAGTCCTGTGGTAGCTAATAAGCCATACCAACCAAACCTGACTTGTAGTAGGGGTTAATTAACCCACTATGGCTTATTCTGTTGTCTGACCCCATACCAAAAAATAAGACATGGTCCAAGTGGAAAACTAGGGAGCTCCTTGGCAGGAGTGTCAAAAAGGCTTCTGGAAAACCACTGTTCCCAGGCACCCCAGAATTCCAAAGATGCTCTGGGGGACTGCTGGGAACTGCCCTTTCCATCCTCACTAGCAGCAGGGAGAGCACTACAAACTGTGCATCCCAGTTTCCTGGGGACCTTCCTCTCAGATTTTGCCACTTCCCAAGGGGCTGTTCACTCAGGGTGAATCATAAAATGGAGGGGGTTGGGACTTTGTATTCCCATCCAAATACCCCAAGGATTCTGCTTGGGAGGGGAGAAAATGGAAGGGGTGTCACTCAAATAGGCTTTTAAAGGGTTTCTTGGGGCTATTTGGCAGGTGCACTTTTGCTCTGTCTTATCCACATCTGGAGAAGTGTGGGCAACCTAGGGCCACATGGGCACCCCAAAACACTCCGAGGGTGCATGGCACACACACACACACACACACACACACACCCCTTTAAAAATAAAAGTTGCACATACACTGTGTCCATGAAAACAATTGTCTATGTCAAACTGCAGCTTAGAAGCCTGTTTTTTTTCCAGATTTTTTTTAAAGGTGGTATATGGGGAAAGCACTCTTTGCTGCAAAATTCTAGCATTTTTTGATGGGTGCTGCTTTGGCCCTGGGCTGCTCTAACTTACCCAAATGTATTTATCACAAAGACACCCTTTTTTCAAGTCATCCTGTGGCTAGCAGTAAATGACTTGCAGCTCAGGAGACGTCCCAGCGCAAAGAGGGAGGAAGAAGCATGCAAGGTTTGCTGTATCTGATCATCTTTCAGCCACAGAGGAATTGCAACCACAATGCCAAGTGGTTTAAAGTGTTGTGTGAACCAAACTACAGTGTTTCGTGATCTTGATTTGCTTATACATGTTTAAGCAGAACATAAAAGGAAAGTCATGTCAGGCACACTTAGAAGGGATCAATCCTCACACCCAAGAGCAACTTAGTCCTCTAAGACTGCATCCCATTTTCAGCTGACTCCAACTAGAAATGATCCCAGGTGATTTCCATGCAATACACAACCTTTCTGCACTCACACACATTGATTTGGTTCCTGCTTTTCCATCAAGGCTGACCAAGCAGGGACCTATGGTAAATGGCTCTGAGGAAAAGCTGGGATTTGGAAGTCCACTTCATGACATGGCTTCATATTTTGGTTTGTTTGGAAGCCATTGACCATAGGTTTGCAGTTTGGATATAACAGGAATCTATGGTATCTGCAGATTCCTGGCTTGCTTCATTAGAAGCTAGACACAGAATGTACATTTTTCTGTCTAAACTTTCATAGGATTGCACCCAAAGGCAGCCAGTGGCTGCTGTCTGGATGATGGGCCCCATTGCCAAAGGTGGAAAACTTTCCTGGTTTTGCACTCCATCCATATTCATTACTTCTAGAATATTGAGAGGTACTTTAAATGAGGTAGAAGGTAATGATGAAGTTGTTGTCTGATGGTGGGTCGTTCTAGGTGTGCTTATTTAGATATAAGTCCCATTTACTGTGTAGTAATAGGCTTTAGGATTGAAGCATTTACCTCTTGTTGGGTTCCCGACTCCTTTGCCATTTTCTTTTATTATCATTTTGATTATATTCCACATTTCATGCAAGCCAAAAAAGCAAAGCAGCCAATTGTCATAAAACTCAGTCTAAACTCAGTTAAAGCAATCATAAAAACAAATAGATTAAAAAACTAGAGAAAACAACCATGAAAGAAATAGATGTCATATTACCTTCATTGTCCCAGTTGTGGCCTTCCGACAGGCAGCTGGTTGGCCATTTGGGGAACAGAATGATGCAGCAAATGCTCTTTTGGTCTGATGCAGCATAGCTCATATGTTGATGTTAAAGTTGCTTGTTGTTACTGTGAAGAGGAATGGTTTAACAGTTTTAGTGCATCGTCCTCCCTGCAATCATCAATAACACTCCCCTGTCCATTTTGGTTATTTCTACAGGGTATTCCTGTAGGCTGGTGTCCCAGAGTATGTCTCTTATCCTTGTGAATGAAGATTCTTTGGATGTAAGTAACCTTTGCCTCTTGACCCTTTGAGCTAAGCAATCTAGCCAGCTATTGCACAGTGTGATGGATTCATAGCAATGCATGTGAAGAGAGTGCTTTAACATGGCTTTCCCAGCTCTACCTCCCACTGACAGGCCCCTGAAAAGTGTCTTTTGAGGCTCAGGTGCCCTGCTGGAAAGAGTGCTGCACACAGGAATTAACAGGGGATCTCAAAAATTTTGCAGAAAAAACCTTCCGCAAGTGGAGTTCTAATGTGGGAGGTACCACCACCCAATTTTTAGGGATGTCCTTTTCTCCACCAAAATCCACCCTATTTAGCATGGGGAAGACATGTGGGGTGTGCTGAGACATGGAAGTAGGGAAAGTCATGTTTCACCAGTTTCCTTCCTTTCTTCTTTCCCTCAAAGTAACCAGGGAATGCAAAACTGGAACTTTCCATTTCGTTGCTTCCATCTCAAAGACCAACAACCAGTGTTTTTCAATTACACGAGAAAAAGAATGTTATTCAGTCCTTTATTTGACAAGAGTTAGATTTTGGCCTGGGATTAAATATCAACTCATGTCATATTTATTTATTCTTCACTAGCATTTTACAGCATCGTCAATTAATCCTTTACAACTCAAACAGAAAAGAGGAGTTTGTTTATTCAACAACAGAAGGGAGCAGTGCACCCTATCAGGATTCTTCCTTGAGGCAGACAACAAAATTTTCTCTTTCTTTGGTTGTCTTTATGTCAGAGAAGGTTAAGCAGTGTAACTCAGCCCCATTGGAATGAATCATATGCAGGGGATGGGATCAGTGGTCGGTAAATTTCTTCTGCTGATGCTAGGCATCCCATAGTATTTATAATCATGCTCTGACCAACGGCAGCATCAGCCCTTTTGACTGGGGAAGGTGTTTCCCCCTTGGCAGCAAAAAGGGGTGAGTTGATATTGATGGCAAAGGTCAGTTTTCTGTTTCCTACCATAGATGTTAATGCAACAGTAAGGGAGGCTGTGAGCATATCTTGGGTGTAAGTTTCCAAGGGATGGAGAAGAACGAGTGTTAATATGCTTACTGGAGAATTTCCTAGTATTTCCCCCAGGGTGTTTTTCTTTATCGGGACTCTAGGTGGCCAATTAAGGCTGTGTGCATTGGCTGATTTGCCTGTATTTGAAGCTGAGCAAGGTGGAGGACATTTGCCCATCGCAGAGGTCCCAGGCCTGCCAACCCAAAGTCAGGATCCTCCCTACATTCAGTATAAATTGATAGCCAGCACACACTGCAGCTTCCTACTTTCTTGTCATGTATACATAAGCTTCTTGTGCTTTCACATTTTATTGCCTCCGGGGATAAGACCGATCTGGAAAAGTATTAGCAACTGGTCCATTTTCAGTGGATGCTGTGTATGGCAAGCTGGTAGTGATCATGACATTGAGCTTGGCCAACAGTAAAAGAGAAAATATATTTCAGTGGCATTAGAAGTCTTTGGTGAGCTCCAGAGCTACTATAAACTGAAATGTTGAAAAGTATTTAGGGAGAGAGAGAAATCAAGAAAGATGCTCTTGGTTGTTGGATAGTACAACCTGATTTCCAACTAATGAAACCTATTTGAGATTACAGTCTGTGTTGTGAATTAAAGCAATGAGAAATAATCTAACATTAGAGGACAATTTCAGAGGGTTGGATTGTCCTTGCTGGAAGCCTCCGGGGGCTGCATCCTTGCTCTGTGGCCATGGTTACAGATTTCCAGGAATTTTGGTGGGATAGAAAGAATATGCTTCCTGAATGTCTTGTTTCCCAGCAGACTTGGCTAAAAACTAACAGGAATCTCAAGGCATTTGATAGCATTCCATTCCAAATGGAACAACATTGTTTGAAGAAAGTTTACAACTTCTGGGATTGTTTAGCTTAGGAAAAAAGGGTAAGTAATGGAAGATGTGATAGAGATATAGAAAATTATGCATAGTGTAAGAAAGTGGATGGAGAGAAATTTTTCTTCCTCTATCATAAGATTAGAACCCAGGGTCATCCCATGAAGTGGATTGGTGGGAAATAGATCTTAAGTGCATGCTTAAACCAAGCAAATTATGTCCACAGGAAGTTAGTTATGGATTGGACGCATTTCTGACAGATAAAGTGGCACATAGTCCCGATGGCTACATGCCACCACTAGTCTCAGAGACTGTGTGCCAGTGCACAGCAGCTACTGGGGAACATGGGAAGGAAGGTGCTTTTGCAGTCATGTTTTGCTTGTTGGCTTCCTGTTGGGGCAACTGATTGGTTCCTGTATTAACAGAATACTGGACTGATACAGCGGCTCTTCTGCTTTCATGATGTCCTTTTCCATTATTCAGGCCGTGGGTACAGTTTTTGTGTAGCAGAAACAGCACCAAAAGGCAGACATGTGAAATTTCTGAAGGAAAAATTTGGAAATTTGACCTGCCCACTTTTCGGGCTGCATCTACATTCCCCATCAGAGGCTTTTGACATGCCATTTGGTGGCTTGCAACCTATGTCAAGGCAAGCTCCTGCTTCGGAAGGGCAGGTGGCTGTCCAGCACTATGGAATTCCCTGGAGGTTTGCTAGAACTCAAGTGGAATGGTAAAATTTTGCCTGGACACACCAATCCTTGGAATGCTGCTACAGTGCAAATTGGAAGACACTGATTGACAGAAAGAATCCTAGAATGTCTCACTCACACCCCAGTTGTAAGCCCTATTTACACATCAAGAACAAAGTTACCCATTGAGTTCTGTGACTCAGTGGGAAATTGAGACTATCAATCTGCCCTTTCCTGTCTAAGCATTTTTTATTTTTAGTGATGTTGTATGAATGGACCTGACTCATAAATTTCCATTAGTTTTAAAACACTCAATTTGGTACAAAGCTACTGGTAGAAGTAAAGGCTTCTTGTAAGTTGGGCAAACGGGGTACCAAAGTCTCTCCCTGGTGGAACAGTCACATCTAGGTGCTCAGAATATTTATTATTTAGAAAAGTAAAAACAAAGAGTGCCCCTGAGATCATGAAGTCTAGATCCCTGCCTTGAGGAAGGAAATTCAATATATAAGGAATCTTCAAGTAGTGGCATTCAAATTGAAAGGGAGCAGTTCCACTTTTGGAGAGTCCTTCCTTAAGTATTGGTTTAGGACGCTGCTGGGGAAATGCAACACTGGAAAACTCATTCCATCGGAGCTTCATGGACATGTGACGCATTTTGACCTAACGACAGATTGCTGTAGGCACATTCCTGCAGGCACTTCACACAAGTTGTGTGAAGTGCCTGCAGCAATGAAGAGCTGCAATTAGAAATTTAAAAACAGCAGCTTTAATCCAGTACTGCAGGCTTGAGAATTAAGGAGAGTTCCAGTCCAAAACATTTAGAGGGCATGTGGTTGGGGAAAGCTACAATCCAGAGGGTAATATCCAGTGTTAGTCTTCTGTAGATTAGATTCATGGAAATAAAAGGGATTTAAATTAGTCAAGGCTAACTTGCTCCCATTCATTTCAATGGGTCTATTCCACATAGGACTAACACTGGATACTACCAAGGTAAGGCTTACCAAAGTCCACTGATTTCAGTCGAGTTAGATATGCATCGCTATGTTGGATTTAGTCCAGAGAAGCCTGAGTACACAAATTCAGCTGCCTATGTATGACTGAGAAACTCTTTGGATCCAGGCCACAATGACTGCTCTTAATAATTCACATATGTAATTTAAGATATAATGTGTACTTTAATCATAATGATTGCAAAAATATTTTGCCACACAACAGTGAAAGTAAGATTATAGCACTCAGTGTGAATTACTACAGGCTTAAAACTGGTTTGCTACATATTTTCCTTAACACATAAAACTGAATTAAATAAATAGCATGAATTGAATAAGCTTTAAAATTTACAAGCAGTATATAATAAAATCTTTCAGAAAACTTGTAGAAAATATAGAGCACATGCCCAAAAAAGCATTAGCTGTAATTGTTCTTAAGTTTACTATGTGTGATTTGGGGTTTGCTTGTTTGTTCTTTTTTCAATCAGTGGCTGAATCTGATAGCCACTGGCTTGATATTTGAAGGCACCCTGAGAAGGACCCCTGGACAAGAAAGTGTTTTAATTACATGCAAGTAGTACTAGATCAGAGTGTCTGACTTGGTTAGCTTCATTAGACCAAAACAGAATATTGGATTTGTAATTTTAGACATTGGCTCTGCACAAAGACGTTGATGAGTGCTTGAGTATTTCTTTAGAATATTAACTTCCTCTGATTGTCATTTGATCAGCTAATAACCTTAGCATATTCTATTATCATAATACTGAAGGCCATGGAAAGTATGCCAGCCAATTTCCCTAGGCTATAAAGCTAATGTCTCCATTTTCCTATGTTTATTGGAAAAGGAGGTTGTGAAACACCTGCCAGTTTGGCCATATTTTGATTACGGGCTGGGTCTTCTTCTCTTTCTTGGGAAAGATGCACATGGCGAACAAAGCCCATCCTACACTGATTGTAGGAAAAGACATTTTCTTCCCTTAGGTCAGGAGTCAGTAACTTGCAACCCTCCACTTATTTCAACTATGCTGGATAGAAATTTTATGGGATCTGTACATCAAAATATCTGGTGGGCCACAAGTTTCTCACCACTGCTTTCGAGTCCAAAACTAAGATGCACTATCTTAGTTTTGTTTCAATTATTTCTGAATTAACACAGCAAAAGACAAAGCAAAACAACACTCCAGAACATTCAGATAAGTTTTGCCCACTTTGGCTCCACCCCCTTTTAGTGCCCTTCAGTTTCTTTACCGGAAGTCTTATCTAACTCTGGAATATCTCTCTCTCTCTCTCTCTCTCTCTCTCTCTCTCTCTCTCTCTCTCTGGTATTGTGTTTGGAAACTACCTGTTTTTGCTGGTCCCCAGCCAGGGAAAGGTTGGTTTAGAACACCTGGATTTTCAATCTGAATACCAGCCAAGCTCTGTTAGCCATCCTGAATCTATTTCAAATTGCAGAAGGATTAGTGAAGTC